AATCAGAATTGATCTGACTTTTTGGCGGAGGAGGGCAGAAACACTCAATGCAAGTGAAACCGCTTCTTTCGGCAGTTTTGAGCTCAGTTTATTAGACACATACAGGATAAATATTCAGGCCTCAGACACACAGGAAGAGACAGAAAGGAGTCACACGCCGGCATCAACAGCTGTTTAAATCCAACACTGTCCATTCTCATTATTTTTCCACTCTTTTCTCACCGTATGGGCTTATTTGATTTCATGATAACATCCCTGAGAAAGAAATGGGACGGCTGATGTGTCCTGATCGAATTCCTCCTTTAAACGTTTCGAAAAATCCACCGACATGAAACAAGTTCTCCATATCTAAGTCTAACCGTCTAAACCACAGAAAGAATAAATCTACCTCACTACACCGTGTTTAACGATATTTTAGACCCGATCACACGACCATAATCCCAGGATATTAAAGTTATTTAGGTATTCCTGATTAAAGACCTAGTTTTCCTAAAGTTTTAAGCAAATCAAAGCAAATTAATTCTGTGCTGACTGTGATCTGAAGTGGAGTAAAAACAGCGTCCTGCTTCCCAGAAATCCGACAGAGCTGCACTTTGAGGTGGTTTTCGACACTGGAAGTGATACTGTCCAAGCAACACGTGTTTACACTATTAGACCAGGCCCTATTTGAATGATAATGATAAAAAAAACACAAATAAAATAGATGAGTTTGACCTATGTTCACTTTAGTTTTGCGAAGCAAGCTTTGTATTAAGCTTAAGGTTATTTGATTTTATGCAAAACGATAATCCTGTGCCGTGCAGATTATTTTTCATTGCTTTTGGTAACCTAGATTCTCATGTTGCTACATATTGCTTTGTCAAGTGGCTGCACAGCGTATTGGGTCAAACCAAATGTTTTTATACCAACTACTATACTGATTTTTCGCTCAACAAAAGCTGCAATCAGTTTTTCCCATTTTTTTAAATGTATCTTTAGATGTGGTATTTCTCCTTTGCCACAGGACGGCGCTGTCAGGGCTTTTATAAATAAAGTTTAGAAAATTCAAACAAGATGGCTGCGTCCTGCGAGTACCGTGTTGCTTTGCAAAAAATGTGAAAGAGGCTTTAAACTCAAACGAATAAGAATAATTAGTCACTTTCGTGTACAGGTAAGTTAATGTTAAGTATATATTTATGTATACATGGCAGAACGATGAATACAGAGCAAATGTATTTGTTTAATTCACTTATTTTTCGGCTCAAGTTGATAGGAGTGATTTGATTTCATTGTCCCATATTATATGGTTTATTTACGTTGTGGAGATTTTTAATTTTTTTCTGTTCTTGATGATGTATTTACGTATTCAAAGTTGTTGTTGCCACAACACTAAAACAGAGTTCAGATCTATTTTATTCTAATTTAAACTTTTACTTGTCTTATTTACCCCAGGCTCTCTTTGTTTTCACCACAAGTGAGACATGGCCACTGCAGGAAAGCCAGTTAAGAAGCAGCTCAAAAAGCAGATTCAAACCAAAACCTCCTTCACTTCACCCTTCACCCCAAATTGGAGCCCGCTTCCACAAGAAGACATGCAATTCATCCTGAAAACTTTGAAGGACAAACTGATCTCCACAGGTCTGGAGAAGAAAGAGGTGAAAGTCTTTCTTCCATGGAGGAAAAAGAAAGGGAAGGAACCCATTTCCACTCCTAGGGTTCCTCCCGAGGTGAGCCAGGACGAACAGGCGCCCCTTCCCACCGGGAACGGCTGGACGGACGTGGCGGCCAGGCGACAGCTCGCCATCGGGATCAACGAGGTCACCAAGGCCCTGGAGAAGAATGAGCTGCGGCTGCTGCTGGTGTGCAAGTCGGTCAGACCCAAACACATGACCAGCCACCTGATCGCCCTGAGCGCGACCAGAGGAGTGCCGGCGTGTCAGGTTCCCTGTCTGAGCCAAAGCCTGTCGGAGCCGCTGGGTTTGAAAAGCGTCCTGGCACTGGGATTCAGACGTTGCTCCTCCAAAGACGAGGAGGTGTTCACGGACGCTGTTGACGCCATCGAACCAAGAGTTCCTGCCTTGGATGTCCCGTGGTTGAAAAGCGGGACACCTGAACTCCCTGCTGGAGTGGGGGAGGAGGGGAACGGTGAGGCCAGAGGCCAAAAGCGGAAACTGGAGGGTGAATCCGAGGTGAAGGAGTCCCCTTTGTCCTGCTCTCTGCAGCCTCTGAAAGTGAAGAGAATTATTGCCAACCCTGCAAAGAAGAGAAAAACTAAGAAGAAGAAAAAGCCTGCTAATTAAAGTAACTTTTTTTATTTTATTTAATTTTTTATCTCTGCTCACCTTCTGTTTCCTGCTTTTTTCATTTTATCTGAAACGTGTGAAACTCTGGATACGCTTTGCCTCTTCACATTTTGTGCCAGAAAATACAGTACAAAAAATTAAATATTCAGCTGACAACCTTGTTGATGTGTAACAAATTAATAAAGTTGGTTATTTAGCATAGCTTTCTGCTGCTGATGTCACACCGAGCATTTGCCATTGAACCAACCCAAACATTAAAAAGAAATTACACCTCACTCAGGCTCCTTTTTTAAAGTGAGTTTATTCAAATATCCATGCTGGTATAGCCGACGTGTTTTGAAACAGATTGTTATTTGCATGGGGTCATGTCGAAATGATGCTGGTACAAGTTCCTTAGCTTTTTCACAGCTTACAATGGTGTTGATTAAAAATAGTGTTCTTCATTCAAGCTGAATGTCATTTCGAAAGTACATCCCTTCATTCCACCTCCAATCTAAAGAAAAAACTGAAGAAAAACAACTTTCAAATAAGGCAGGTACCTTGGGTTGAGTTCTCACTAAAGGTTGTGGCTTGAAATATCAATGCTGAAAATCCTCACAGCGGCAGGACTGACATGCTCAAACGTTAATTCAAGCAGCGGCAGGCAACACATCTGTGACGAGAGCATCGAGGAGGCACACCGCTGACTGCGCTTCAGAGTTACTGCCGACAACATCCGTCTCTGAACGCGTTCAACCTCTCAAAGAAGGATTGATTTCCTTTCTTTCTTTCTTTTTTAAACCCTGAATTGGTTGAGCATCATTTGCCTGGTGAAATTCTAAAGGGATGCAACAAAACAAAAACAGAAGCAGCCTTTACGTCTTAAGTTACGGCGAGTAACATGAGCAGAAACATCAAACATTAAGTCGCCAAAGGGATAGTTCAAAACATTGAAGTTTGGAGTAAACTGGCTTCTCGACCTTAGAACAAGAGGTCCATCAACAATATTTAGTCAAAGATCTTCATCCTGCTTATTCAAGCACCAGAAAACATCCTAAAAATAAAAAACAGTTTGGAAGTTGCTTATTTAACAGGAACTTTTTTTGGGGGGGGGGATAATATAGGACAGAAATTTTTTAAGACATTCTGAAATGTACAATTACAAATATCACAACTTTCACACATGTAGCTGCACAGCGTACAAATAAAATTGACCTACTGTATATATTTCAGTCACGCAAAATACAGTACCATGACAAAAATCCATGTAGAGGTGAATGAAAATGTACCTGGACAAGAGGGAAAGTTCACATGGACCTGATGTTAACGGAGCTGATCTTTCAGTATTCAGCCGCTGCACCTGCTCTTTCTTCCCTTTGGTTTTATGAACCCTCTGCAGGTGAGCAGGTGGACTGATTCATGCTAATGTTGCACTTTCTGACCAATCAGCCGCCTTACAGCAGCAGCTGCTTTGCAGTGTATCTTTCAGAGACAATCATAACCGAAAGAAAATAGATCCTCAGTGCTTAACAACTCCCTTTCAGAGTAAATTACATTATAAAACCTGCGTCCAAGAAACTATCTTGTTTGTACAAAAAACAAAAAAAGACGTTGCTGCCTTGACTGCCCTCCCTGTGCACGGGGCCCTTCACTTTTATTCAGGTCTTGTCTCATTTCGTCTTCTGCACAGCATGCCGATGCCATGCATATGACTACTCTGATTTTACTACAGTCTGAATGAGCTGAACAGAAATGTCACCACCCATATGGGTGTTGCATCGTACAAAAAAAAAGAGAAAAGCCAGCTTAAGGGACAGCTTTGTAATGTAAAAACTGCCCCCATTCCTTAGACAAAGCCAAAAGATGCACAGTGTGCATTTGAACATGGGTGTTTTCAGACCTGGCCCTGTAAACGAGGGCCCTTTTGCTCATTTAGGGACTCAGAAAAATTGTGCTTCATCAACGCAATACATTCGTCATTAAAACTAATTCAAACCCCCTTCGAGCAACGAGGAAAATGCTTTGGATCGGCCCTTCCCAAATTCCAAACACACACCACAGCAATAAATATGATCTGGCTTTAAATGTACTGTCAACTATATACTTCTAACAAAAAAAAACATGTATATCAATGCACCGGATGGATACACACTCCTTTTTGTGTGCGTTATTTGACACACTGTGTATAGCTTTGTTTTTTTGTTGGTATTGTCGTTTTGCTTTCTTTTTTTTTTTAATGCACATATTTGTTTATGCGTGTCAGAAACACTTCTCTGCGTTTCTATTTCTACTGAGGCCAGAAACAGCTGGCAGACACAAACCGACCACACTGATATGAAAAGGGAGGGAAACAATACATGGAGCGGCGGCACAACAACCGTCTGGAGGGGTAAACAAAAGTAGATGGGTATTTAACTATACCTGGTGGTGTTTTTTTGTTTTTTTTTTCCTTGTTTTTTTTAATCATCATTTACATAGTTCCATGAAAATAAACGACATGCCAGTCCTTCACCGCAGAGCGTCGAGGATGAGGAACTCAAAAAAATTCACAATGTCAAGGCATCCTCTTAAAGGTCAAACTGGTTTTGTTTTAAATGCGAGAGCGGGTCAGGAGCGGTGGGCTGTATGAGTGTCTCAGGCATAGCATGACTTCACATTCAGGATGATGATTGAAGAGTTTCCACCTCCACGCGGACTGAGAATTTTCTGGATGACATGAGTGCCAGGGCCACCCTCCCCTGCTCACCAGCTTGGTTTGACTGTTGCGGTTCTCACTGCCGAGCTCGGGCGACTTGTGTGTCCAGGCAAGGGAAATCCAGAGGTCACTGAGAACCGTGTGTTTGTGCAGCGGCCGTGAAGGGAGCCGCTACTGAAGGACAAGGCCAACCTGGGACCAAGAGATGTGGGCGTCAACGCTTAAAGCTCTAAATACTTTAATGCACAAGGTAAAACAGCATTTCTTTAATGGATTCACAGGAAAGGAGCTGAAGCCCTTCACTGTTGACAGCCTCACGGGAAAAGAACTCCGAGAACCAACATATTTCATGAAACCAGATTTTGAAATCGGAAGCGATGTTCAGTACTGGAGGAAAACATGCGGCTGACCTTATCAGGGTCCATAGAGGGACATTTCCAGTTGTAGAGGTAATACTGCAGATTTCCATCTCCTATGCCAAACTTGAGCTTCTCCAGAAAGACCTTATTCTCCATTAGATCCAAGGCGTTGAACACATCAAAACCTTTCTATAAAACAAAAAGGGAAAGAACATCGTCACCCACACAGCAACAAAAAACAACAAAAAAAACAACTGAGGAGTCTGTACCAAAGCACTCCTCTCTCTGAACTGAACTTATGGACTGATAATTATGTACAAATTACCAGTTTGGCGAGGATCAGTGCATCATTCATTAAGTCCAGCAGTGGGGTGTGTGTGTGAACGTTGTAGAAAGAGTAAGCCGCCTTGAGGCTCCTGTGGAGCGGGTGATGCATCACAGTCGAGGGCAAAGTGTAGAAACTAGTAAAGTCTGTCAGCATGCCGCCTGTGCCCTGAGAAGGAGCCAAGCAGAGCAACTGTTTACAGAACGGTGGCCCCTTTACCGACCTGAGCATCAGAAGCCACTGCGCATACCTCCACGACGTATGTGTCGATGATGTTTTCCTGGGGAGAGAACCAGTGAGCCACCTCTTCCTCTCCCATGGAAGGTGCCAGCTGGAAACGTCTCAAGTATTTCTGGAGAAGCTGGGTGACCTGCGGCACGTCACGCCTCTCCATCGGCCGCAGACCGGGAGTCTTGGTGCTCTGCATGTGGCGGAGAGAGTTTCTGTCATTCCCGTGAGCAGCAAAACAGGGACCCCGCTCTGACAGGTGAGAGCGCTTACATCTGGCAGCCTGTAGAGCTTCATGGTTCTTTGAAGGGTCATGTTTCTGCTCAGGTGGGAGAATTTCACTTCAACCAGCTTTCTGGGGTTTAATGACCGATGCCAGTACCTGGAAAAGCACATGCAGAAAAAAAGGTCATTGCTTGGGGGGTGCAGAGCGCTGGTACTTTGAATGCCGCATATCACACCTGCATGTGGACACAGGTTTAGGCAGGACGACTCCGGCCGTGTACACCGCCTGAAATATTCCCTCTAAGTTCACCCGCCGCGTTATCTCTCGGATCAGCACGGGGGCCACGCGCTTAGAGCGCAGCTTCTTGTGAACACAAAGGAAGTTGATTTCCACCATCTTCTTTATCCTGCAGCCGCATGAGGAGAGAGGACGGGTGGCCCGTTAGAGTCAAAGGGTCTCCACAACTGGCATGTCGCTACCAAGGCGCTATGGCCACGGTGCTTACGTGTCATAGATGCGTATGTCTGCAGGGATGGCGCTGATGAAGCCAACCAGCTTCCTGTTGGAGGACACTCTCACCCCACAGTGCCACTGCGGCAACCAGCCAGGGGGCCGCAGAGCCCTGACGGCAGGGAACAGGAGACGTTAGGCAAGAATGTAGACACACGCCTGCACACATGACACAACTGAGCCCACTGGAGCTGCTTACCACTTGAGAAAGTTTGGAGAATAATCAAATCTGAACATGTTATCATCGTCTTCCACGTAGTTTTCATTCAATAACGTGTACAGCTCCTTTAGCTGAAAAACAAGAGACATTCACAATGACGTTCATCGTTAAAATCATTTTTAAGTCAGTGAGTGTTTCAGATAAGAGCTCCACTCACGACATCTGCACTGCTCAGATCCAGAGTGTCCCACATAAAGCCTTGAGGTAAAGAATATGGCTCCTGTCTGATGTTTTCCTTGTCAGCTTCAATTGGACCGTGACTCGTCACAACTTCATCTGCAAAGACAGTGCAGAGTTAAAACATTTTACAATCTCAACACTTCCAGTACACCTGAGAACTCTGAATAACTACTGTTCCAGCAACCCAGGTGCCTTTTACGAATACCTAAAACCATAGAAATGGCCAAAAGCATCAATCATGACCCATAAAAACCTGTTTTGCTCCTCCTTACTGGGCCAGCTCCTCCCACACACACCTGACTTTGTTGGCAATAGTTGTCATAGAAACAGCTTTTAGTCTAAAACCGCAAAAAACATCCCACTTCAAATGCCACGTCTCCCACCACACATCACAGCCGACATGCTTTTGGTACACTAGTTTCAGCAACTCAGACTTGTGAAATAAAACCAGAAGATGGCGCTGGAGTGTGAAAACCAGCTGAGAGAATAAAACTCCTCTGTTCATGGTGGAGGAAACAGTTTAAATTAAACTGATCAAATGTACATGAATTATGTTGAACATAATACTTACTTAACTTTGGAACAGGCTGGGTGTCCCAAAACTGGTACTTGTGCTTAGCTGCATCATCAATGCTCTTTGCTGGCCCTTGGCAGGACAACAGTTCCATGGCTCTTTGGATGTCCTGCAGCTTCTGAATGGGCAGGCCAGGGTTCTGAAAGAAAATAAGCCATATTTAGTTTAGTTATGAAACTAAGCCCAGGGACGGCATCATCATGCTGGTGTATGAATGTGAGGATTCAAGCATGAAAGTTTTCACATTAATCACAAATCTACTAATAACTACAGAAATCCAACAGGGACTGTTATATTGTGAATATTTGAGACCTCTTACATAAATTGTCACTATATTCAAATCTATGTGAGAAGTACCTTTGTGGAGGCACCTTTAGTATCCAAGTCTATTTACCTCTTGCTGTCGCAGTGGAAACAGTGATTAAGTAATGAAACATATCTGCACATTTCATACATTTTGATGCTTTTATCTCCTCTCAGAGTCAGACTTGTTGGCCATAACTTAACTAGTCTGCAAAAATGACATAGCCCCTCAATATGTTATGGTTATGCTTAATGTCCCCTTCACTGACACACCCGTAATCTTAAAGCTCTCTCCTTTTAAAATTCTGCCTGCTGTTTTTGATGGATATCTGCTGACAGTGAGCAGATGGAGAGCAAAGTGAAACATCGCAATGTCACTGTGGGCACATTATGGTAAGCATCATTCAAACCTAGAGTCAAATAACTTTGAGAGGGGGATTTGTCCTATTAGTGATAAGCTCCAGGAGTACGTGAGCAACACACAAGTGTGATAGCATCAAGCCTGAGCTGAGTGCTTCTTCCATAATGATTAAGGTCACCGTGTAACTGCAGATGTACTTTAAAGAGTCAGATTCATTGTTTACTCTTAACGACAACCATGGCAAACCACCAGATTCTTCCCTTGGATAGTGGCTTATCAGCATAAAAATAATCATTCAGCCTTTGCCATTCACATGCCATTAGTTTTCTGTCCATTATGCTGGACAGAACACTGGAGTCCCGTGTGTGGGTGTAGTAGTGTAAGCTCTGATCTGAGAGGGCGTGTGCCCTTTTCACTGTCATCATCACACCTTGATCTCCTGAGAGTCAGAAGCAGAGTCTGACTTGGCTCCCCCTGAGCTTGGCTTCTCTTTCTTTCTCTTCTGCTTCTTCTTCTTCCTCTTGGCCCCCAGATCTCCACCTGGACTGCTGCACGCACAAGGAAAAAGGAGCAGGACATCATTGGACGAGGGTTGACTTTACTGGACTCACACGCAGAGCTAACGTTAGCTACCATAGTAACGGATGACAGTTGAGCTACTTGCTGCTAGCTAACTAACGGTTTGTCTTAATGGCTGGCTGTCATGTCATTCAGTCAGGATGCTGGATGAAGCTATACATGTACGCAAAGAAACGACCCGTAAAAGGAAGAGCCAAAATGTCCCCCTATAAAATAACATGTTTTACATCAAGTCTAAAGTCTCTTGGCAGCTTGGCTATGTTTGTATCTGCTACCATTAGCTTGCTAACTGCGCTAGCCACACATAAACAGGCTGCCTGAAATTATGTTGCTGCGTTTCCCAGCCGACCGTACAGGCCCCCCTCACCCCTGCATATGCTCATTCTCCTCCTCGTTGTCTCCGTCTATCCCACAAGTGTCCTGGTCATCCAGCTCCAGACTCTGCTGACTGGCTGCGGATTCACTGTCCTCCGCCATCACAGAAATGCTTTTAAAAAACAGCCAGCCAGCCTTTAATACGGCGCACGGGCAGCGGACGACAGATGGAAAAAACAAAGAAAATGTCGAAGGAAACGGCGTCACCTGGAGGCCAACGGAGGGACAGCTGGACGAGGCTCCTGCTTTTTATCGTCTGAAGTCCTGTATCACTCAAACTACACTGTCATGAGAAGAAACTCCCAAGTTGAAGCCGGAGTACTCATTTAATCAATATCAGTTTTACAAAAATGGTGGGTCTGTTTCGTAATGAAAAATGTGTTCAAATTTGGTGACCTTCGACCCAGAACTGGCAAAAACATGCAAGTCTTATTAGTTGGCTGGTTAAGTGATAAAAGTATGAAAGTTTTAAATTGATCAAGATGAAATATCAATGTACCAAAATTGCAAAAAAGATATGATTTTCCAATAAAAGCCACATAAGAACAATATATGAGAAAGAGACAAGCCTTCAAATAAGTAAATAATCATCCAGTAGTTCGATAAAATAATTGATATAATTGGACATATACACATAATGTGATGTAATTGCCTCTTAACTATTTAAGAGCAATATGAAAATTAGAAAGCACTTCAATAGGACACCAAACTGTATAAAGTTAATCTTGGTGCTTCAAACAAGTGAGTTGTATCAAGTGTACATGTATCTTTATGTAACCCCCCCCCCACACACACACACACATGATATGAATCTTCAAATGAAAATAAATAAAATATGTAATATATATATAAAATACCTTTAGCTTTAATGAAACAGAGATGCAATAAAAACTACAGATATTCTAAACAGAACTCCAGCGATGTTCAGATCTGCTCTTGTGGTTTTAAATACAGACACACACACCTGTATCCAGTTTGGTTTTTTATTTAGAATAATATGCTTCAAATATAACACAAGCAGCCGATTTACACACTCAGGATGCTGTATTGCTACTCCACCCAAGAACTGGAGGATGCTGTGGGATACTGAGAAAGAAAAAGTAATTCGAACACCAGCTCACACACCATTTTTGATCCGGCAGAGGTAAAGAAAGAACTATACACACTGTTATATGATTGCTATGACTACAGGGATCTTGATTCTCAGACAGAGCGTCACAAAATGACACTACAACCACTACGAAGACATTCGAGACAAACATTCATCCCAAAAAACAAAAAATTATTGGAAAAAAAACAAGCTTGGGGAACAAAGAAACAAAACAAAAAAAGCAGTGTAGCTTCACATCCAATGACGCTGAAGTTTTATTTTCCTGTGCTCCACTGGACGCCTCTGCAGACCCTTAACCGCTTGCGCTGAGAGGAATTTGTGCCTTGCCGATGACTTTACGGGGTTTACAATTGCAGCAGCTGGTAGACATTTTCTGAGATGTCTGCAGTGTAGCCTGTACAACGCCACAGCCGAGGAAAGTTTCACAAGCTTCAGAGGGGGAGGGCTGAGGTAGAGGAGAACAGCTGAAGGCAAAAGAAGGTGAGAAATAAATAAGGTCATGTAGCCAACCAATTCCTTGCAGAACCGGGTTGTTCAAAGGCACTTGGGTCATTGCAGGTTGCTGGTTTAAAAACTAAACTAAATTAAGGGGAAACACAGCTAGCGCTTTGTTTTGGGGTTAAACATTATGCAGTGTTTGTTTTAGCTTTAACAACAAGACAGGTAAGGAAGAAAAGAAGCCCTTAACATATTCGAAGAAATAAAGCAAAATTAAAAAGGCAATTTTTTTTAGGTAAAATACTTCCTGTTGGCATTTAAAAATCATAGTGATTAAAATAAAAAATTAAAATAGGCATCTCAAGCAGCCATATAAAAGTAATGCATAGCCTTAAGAGCACAAAAAAAGAAGCAAATCAGTGAATCAACGGTTACAAAACCCTTCATATCAACTGATTTCACAATTATTTAGGGTGGAACCACAACTTCTTTAGTTGCGCTGATGAATCCTCACCAAGAAGCAAAGTGGTGTGTCACATTATCTGATTATGCTAAAGAGCAGGTAGTGGTTTAATTTCAGCCGCCTCACAAACTTTATCCCCTCGGGGGTTCATGTAAACACCCGCAGATTCCCCCTCCAGGCTAGATTAAACTCTAGCAACATACTGAAAGTCACCAAGTACAGGAATTACTTGTTTATGACTAGGCTGATTCTGCTGTAGTGGCACAAACAGGCTGTGCAAAGAGAGTCACCCGCCCTGCTGTGCATATATAAGCTCCACAACCTTAGGAGAAAAAACTAACCAAAAAACTATTACTATGCCTGAACGTGGGTGTCAATCTCACTTCAATTGTCTGTAGTTTGTTCCTGGATTGTGCCAATATGGCTCAGGAAAAAAGCGTTTTGAGAACCACCCAGTAACTTTTATACCACAGATCATTTATGCTTACAAGGCTATTTATATATATATGTATAAAAAAAAGGCATATGTTCGTTGTGCATAAAGTATCATAATTTCTTGGCCTCACAACCAATTTGTGTCCCCCAAGGAAAACGTGTACATCATGCCCCATGAGTGTTGCATTCATATCTAATGTCCCAAGGATGTCGAACCGTTTCACTTCACAAAAGCTTCTCAAACTTTACGAGGGATCAGCATCGCTTATTTCTGAAACGATCCCAGTGCTAAGTTATGATCTCAGTGCTGTTTTGAAAACAAAGGGCTTCAATTTAAACAGATATATCCTTCATTTCATTGTCTGAGCAGCAGAGGAGTTATAGTTATTGATAGCTTTGTGGGTTTTTTTCTCCACAGACATGCCAAAAGCATTTTTTCTGGTGATTCTTCCTATTGTCCATAATGGTGGCAAATAGACTCCAAAAGTGACTTTATGGTAATAAAAGTTGAATAGAATGCATAGTGAGGCGAGCATGTTAGACATCACTGTCTTTGTGGTGTAGAAATCCATCCACTTTAAGCGTGACTTGATGCGAAACAGTGTTTTAAAGCTAACCAACATCTCACTGGTTTCACAAGGATTTTTTGTTCCATTTCACCAACATTTAGGTCACTTTGAGAAATTATCAGTGTGGACTCAAGAATCAACTCCCAAAATCAGTGTCAGTGTTTGGCATAAAAGGAAAAAAAGACCACAAAAAAAGGAGGAAAAAAATGGGGCTCTATCCCTTGACGGTTATTTGATGTTGAAGGCCAGCAGGGGTCGCTCCTCCCTCCTTTGCCAGGGGCTCTTCTTCTCCTCCTCTCCATCCTCGACTGCTGCATCATCCTCTGGGGAGGACGATCCTCTGACTGACAGCAGCGCATGATCAGTTCTGAAAGTCACTCCCTCTGGTGTTGGCAGGGGAGGAGGAGGAGAAGGAGACGTTGGGGAAAGTGAGGGCGGCTCCTCTTGTATTCCTACTCCCTCCACATCGCCCTGCGCCGGATCCCCTCCGCCGCCCTCTGCTGTGTCTGATAGGATGGGTCCTATTTTGCAATCTTGGGGGCTCCACTTCTCCTCGTTGCACCCCCCATCCAGATCATCTACATACACCAGCTGAGTGTAGGCCGTGGCTGGTGTTGCACCTTTTGTTCTGTCCTTCTCTACTTCTCTGTCTTCCCGCTCTGCGTCTCTGCCCCTGCGCCCAACTCTTGGCTCGTTCAGGTCCACACCGGAGTCCAGACTGGCATCGTTGCTGTTGCCGTGCCGCCCGGTGCCGTGCCGCCCGGTGCCGTGCCGCCCGGTGCCGTCGTTATCTTGCTGATCTCCTGAATTCTGCGTGCTGTGGCAGCCGGCCCGCTGGAGATCAATGTACGAGTGCCGGATATGAGCGTTGGAGCGTCCGTCCAGTGATACGAACCAGGCTCGCGGGTGAGGCAGAGGTTTCCCTCCTCTCAGCTCCATCAAAGTCTTTTCAGCCAGCAAGGTGTCCTCTTTGTTTATTTCCATGAGACCAGTTTCTCCAAGCGCAGCTGGAATGGACAAAGACTCGGACAGGCCCAGAGCTTCTCCGTCCCCCTGCTTGGCGGGACGTGGGGTGCAGTCGGTGGGGGATTGCCCCAGCGGCTGCTGAGAGTGAGAGGCATTGAGCTCGGCCTGGATGGTCTCCAGGTCACTCTGCTGGTCGGCCTGCAGCAGCAGGGCCTGCCCAGACAGGGGGTGCTCCCCGGGCAGGCGCATGTAGTGTGCTGGGATCACCAGCGTGGGGCGCACTCTGGAGTACCCTTCACCTCCGCTCAGCAGATCCACAGAGCCACAGCAGAGCAGCTGGCCTGGCCGACAAAGAGCCTGGGGGATGGGGCGCTCCAGGTGGTCCACGGAACGGGACAGGAGGTGGTCGGGAGCCCGGCACTCCCCTCCCTCTCCCCTGCAGGGGGAGTGAGGAGGAGAGGAGGGAGAGATACCATCAATAATCCCCATGCTGCTCAGCTGCGTAGCCGACACCTGACAGTGATTGGAAGAGGACAGCACATCTGAAATGTGGTTGCTGGATGAGCAGACGGAGGTGTATGACTGACGATAGCCCCGTTCTGTCCCGGACGAGAGGGCAGGCTTGAGCTGGAAAGTCTCTGCGGACTGCCGGTAGTCTCTGCTGCGGGGCGTCAGATTGCCGAGGGAGGAGCCGTGGTGGCTGTGGTTGCCGAGAGAGGCCCGGCTGTGTTTGCTGTGGTGGATCAGACTGCGCTGACGCTGATTGTCATGGTGCTCGTATGAGGACGGCTTCAGCATTGGAGTGGTCATGTCAGGCTCCGTCGCTGTGGAAACAAGTTCCAGCTGAACCAAAAAAATAACAGCATCAATCAGGATGAGAATCTTAATATATTGTCACATGAAAGGAAAACATAACAGGCACCAAAATAAAACCAAAAAGAGAAATCGGATTCTATCAAATTTAATTTAGCAAGTTGTTTGACCCATTCAGCCTTTGAAGTCTGCAAGTTAGAACCTGCCACCTATAATAACTACAATGATACAGGAGACTCAAATTTGTGGGGAAGGAACCCTTCCCCACATATTTGTACAGAAGCACTCATTACGATGCTCTTCCTCATTACTGTAGATTCACTCCAGCCACCGGCACCAGGGGCAGCTAACAATGAGACTACTGTACAAGATAACTTTAAGAGCAGCCCTTTTCCCATCTATGTGGTCTCATAATGAGCTGATGTCAGAAAACAGGACAGACCTCATTGCCGATGAGGTTCAGGTGGGACATGGAGGTGGCCTGATCCCTCTTGCTGCTGTCCAGGCCAGAGGAAAGGGTGAGTTTACGATGGGACCCTCGTGGCTTCAAACAACGACGTCTGAAACACGGAGAAACATCAGATTTCTGAAGAAAGCCTTTTGCTCCAACCTGTTAAACCCACAAAAAATCTAAAGCTCTGCTTTTTTTTTGCATTTGCTCCAGCACTCAATTAGCCATAAAATCCAACGCTCTTGTCCCTGTAACCCAGATTTCTTATGTCGTGCGACTACAGTCAGCTTTTAAATCCATGGCTTATTGATTTATTTGGTAATGCTACAGGCAGAAAACAGTATGAGAAATAAGGCCACATTGATCTGAAGGTTTACATTATACACTAACTGAATAAGAATGACTATTTTTTACATGAAATTAAATGTTTCACACAAGCTTTAATATTACAGCTAATCTACCATGTGTACAGTACACCTGCGTTGCATCAATGCAGCCACAATGATGCATTTCGGTGCTTGCCTTGGAGGTTTAAATTACAGCTTCTGGTGGAAAGTTGGGATGTGCTGCAGTCAAAAGGCAGCAAGTTTCACACACCTGCAGTAGTACAACATGAGGCACAGCAGGCAGAGCAGGATGAGAGCCATGCCGCCCAATATGGCCAGCAGAAAGACGGTGTGGTAAGTGCTGATGTCCCTCGCAACCGTGGGACCTGTAGGGAGGCCATACATTGGGGAATAAATAAATACATTGACTGACAGATATACTAAACTGCTACTGTATGAATGCAATGTAGCCTGACATGCACACAGAAACAACAGACTAAGATTTCGATATACTTTGTCTTCGTTTAAAAGCTTCTCACCTGAGTGTAGAGGAGACATTGCGGCCACCCAATACCCCAGTTGGGGAGCAATGTAAGTCAGGGAGAGCCGGGTTCCTTCCTTCCGCACTTGACCCAGACTGCTTTTTATCCAGGCCCCTGGAATCAAACAATCGCAAAGGTTGAAATCTGATTTTACAACAATTTGCTGGTGTTGGTGAAAGCCCCCACCTAACTGTCCGGGAGAATAAGCTGCTCCTTCATAATAATAACCCATTGGTTTCTTAGGCCCACCAACATTTCATAACACTTCAAGATGTGAGCACTATCAGCACATCCTGACATACTCTTCGGGAAAATTAACTCACTTGTTTTTCCTTGACAAAAACACCTGAGGATGTTTGGCTGAAAACTAAAAAAAAGAATTGATAGAGAGAAGTGCTTAAATCAGCCACAGGGAGGCAGCATGCAAATACCAGTGTGAGAGCCTAAAAAGGAAAACACTGAGCACAATAGCAGCTCCAGCATTGCAAGTATAAAACAAAAGCCACAACAAAACCAACAGCACTGACTGACTGGCTCCCATTAAATCTGCTCCAAAGGGAAGCGTTCAGTTGTGCCTTTGCACTTCTGATCCTCTGGTTCTCAGGGCTGTAACGGTGAAAGGTACTTTTTTCTGTTTAATGAACTTGGACAAAGAGAAATCAGGAATGTGCCATGGCATCAAGAATAGAGGAAGCTAAAAGGAAACGGGGGGTATTTAAAGAGCAAAGACAAATATTCGGGAGATGGTCAGAGGGAAACGCATCACGGGCAGAGGAAACAGGGGGGTGAGGACAGGAGGAATGTATTCAGAGATAAGAGAAAAAAAAGGCTAAAAAATTAATTGAGGTTGTATGACTCAGCACACTGATGCCCAGCCCTGCCCAGATTCACCCTGCTCCTGTCTGAATTGCTTCCACTGGGGACTCCTCTCATTGTGAAACTGACCCGTTTAATAGTGACTTTTAGTGCGGTTTGTTCCCAGGCCTCCATACAATGAAGCGCTGAAAAACGGACAACTAAGCAGGCACTGCAAACATTTCGAAAGTCAACAGAGCCAATGTATATTGCTTCTCCCTTTCGCTCACTCATGCAAAGTCAACACAGCCGACTACAGAGAGCAGAGGCTGCGTCTGGGGCAGCTGCTTTCATTTGCATCGTCAAACTCTCCTCAGGATGAGGCGTGTCTGTTTGGAAAACACACACAGACACAGGCAGGTGAACTTTATCCGGTCGTATATGACATCATTTTGCTCCATGCTACAATGAAAATACAAGAGGTTGTCAGTTAAACAAGAGAAACAGGTTTGTATTTGTCCTGTGTGTGCACTTCAAACATAAAGTGACAGCCTTTGTCAGCCTGAGGAATCCCTCCAAAAGCTCCAGCTGGATTTCAAAGTTCTATCTTTTTGTCTGCTTATTATCTTCAGTTTTACACATTCATAACCGCACATACGCATTTCAAACCCACAGTGTTCAGACAGGAAACTCGATCGGGGGGGGGGACTTTTCTGTCATGCTATTTATTTGGTTGGTTGCTAGGGAAGGGGGATGCAGCCCGGAGAGGGGTTCAGACTTCTGTTGTGGAAATAGTTGCTGCTACGGACTGTTTGGAGGCCACAAGTGAGTGAGTGCTCCATCAAAGTCCTTTTTATAGGCTTTGAATGTTGATACTTTGAGCACTTTAAAACAGAACTCCAAGATCCTGAATAATCCTCAAAGGAGTTCCCCCTCGTATCCCATGTCTTCGTTTAAATCTGCAATGTGATTAACTCCAAAATGTTAAGCAGTAAAAGCATTGCTCTCATTGTCAATTTTCATCATATCTACAGGGTTATGGTGTAGTTTGACTCAACAAACAGGGAATCCCTTAATTCATTGAAGCACTTGCGACTATATTCACCAGCTTTTTCAGCAGCTATTAAGAAAAAAGAAAAAAAAACTGCAGCTACAGCATCAATCAACAGTCAAGCCTCAACTGTTTGAAGGACACAAGGACGCTGTCAGCAGTTAGAGAGCAGATGTAACAAAAACAAATGCTGCTTCTCCTCATCTCTTAAATAGGAGGTGATGTCCATCAAAGTTTATATGGGTCGACTTTCCTCAAAAATCAATCCAAATTTTCCGGGGAAATCCAGTGATTAATAGTTTAAGTCGTTTCAACTTTAAATAGAAACAGGAATCTTTTTGTTTCTGAAACAATCTTGATTAGTCGTAGAAAGCCCTGTTCTTGCATTGGCGGAGCACAAATATGATACAGAGACACACATGGTCTGGAAATATGAGCCTAATGTACTTTCAAAGAAGACGTTTTATCGTGCCAACTCGTCTGACTCAGCTCACCCTCCATGCATTGTCTTTAAGAGTGGCCTGTCCAAGAGGAACTGGGTGTGTCACACAGTGCGATGGTGGATAACACCGATTTAAGAATGCTGAAATAAATCTCAGGCTCCGCAAGGGCCTGAAGAGGCTCTGCTTAATGAGCCAAAACCGCAGAGCTCTTTGCTATTGTTTGGCTCAGTCTGACATTCAACTGAGCCTGAGGAGATTATGAATTCACAGTCCAAACTTGTGATGTGTAGCAGTACTTTGATTTGCAGATTAATATGGTGCCACATGTTGGTCACTGCATGACCTTATGAATACAGTTATTCATCACTCTGATATTAACCCCACACGCCCGACTGCACACCATGAATATGCCTGTGGTGTTAGGGCCTTCAAATCACTTCATTTCACCAACAATTCAGCTTTGCAACAAGTCATTTTGTTATCTTTTGTGGATAACATCTCTGAACAACAAAAAAACAACAACAAACTCATAAAGGTAAACCACACATTCACTGTGAAAAGTATGAAGGTGTGAGTCTTTTACCTCCATTCACTAAAATTCTAAACAATGCTGTCCGATTCTGTCTTTACATACCTGAGTGTGGGTCAAATCTCCAAGCAGGGATGTGGTCGTTTTCCTTCAGGCCGCAGTCAGCTTGTAGGGGTATGGAGACCATGACTGGCCCATTCACCTGCAGCTCGGCGCCATCGCTGGCCAATAGGTGAACTGAGACAGCTGCCACAGGAGTCAGCTCAAATGTCTTCTCTGTGCCTGTGAGTGCACAAGCAGGAGGACGTAAGAAAGAAACATTTTTTTTTTTTTTTAAATGAAAAGGGGGAGGCGGGAATAAGGTGAAGAGGATAGAGAGCGGAGACTGGAGCAGAGGGGTACTGTAGGAGCTTAGATAAAGGAGAGTTGTCGGGGACAGGAAAGAAAACAAGGGAAACACAGAAGCAAAGGAAATGGGGTGGAGAGCGAGAAAACCCGGATGCTGAGGTTGGAAAGTGTCAAAACATAAATCTGCTGGTGTTGTTTGGAGTGAGGAGGAACAAGCAGTAGGGGGAGGGTGGTGGCGATGGGGGGGAGTTGAAGATGAAGGTGACACGCAAACACAGAAACCAAACGAGTAAACACTTCCAGATGTGGATAAAATTGCCTGAAAGTATTTCTGGGTGTTAGAGGAGAGAGCACACACTTGGTTTCAGGAGGTCGGTGGATGGAGGCCTCTAAGGGCAGCGGCTGTCTGATACCCCCCCCCCATCCTTTCTTAGCACCTCTTTCCTGTTGTGTGTGAAAAACCCTCCTTGGGATCTATTTCTGTCAAGGGGGTTTCAAGCGCTTTGTCTCACCTGAGCTGTTGCTGCCCAGAATCTGCAGGTGGGGAAAGTGCTGGACTTGTGAGGAGGAGCTCGTCACGGTGAGGAGAGCGGTTAGGTTAGTGTAAGACGTGTTGGAGGGAAGAAGGAGAGCTCTGCGCTGGAAATGCACACTGGGCTGGTCTCTCAGACCTTTAAAAGTCAGACAGATGTCAGAAACCATGAATATGTGCTTACAGATTTTTCCTGCATAAATGAATTAATAATACACATACAGATATAATCATATAAGAGACACAATACTCTCAAAGTGTTTCCTGGGTCTTAAATATTAACTGCATTGTTGACTTTGTTTTAAAAAGGTAGAACCTCTTTGCTTAAAAAGAAAGAGTTAGACAAAGGGAAATCCCTTTTTGGCATGTCTCTGCATGTGAAGGTGACATAAACACACTAACTGCCAAAATTAGGACCTGAGAATTTGTTGCAAGAGATCATACTTTACTTTTTCTTTTTTTACCTACAAGGAGCAATTCACTTCTGTAATCATTCACATGAACACAGGCGCTATTGTTCATCTTAACGCCGTCCTTCATACACAGTCCTACGGCTAAAAACAGCCAACAGCACACAGTGTGTCATAATCTGTGGCTGAAAATAAACACAGAAAAAAAAACAAATATACAATTGACTCCTTTTTACGGTAACACTTCCTGGAAGCCAAAAATCAACTCTGTTTCAGTGAAAAAGTGACAACAGACAGACTGATCCGCTACTAGCCTTTGTTCCTCCATGGCGTTAGCTGCCAGTGAGGAAAGGAGCTGCACTCTGAGTGGGTTTTTTTGCATTATTTGAATATATTTAAATCCAAAATCACACAGGACTAAAAAGAAAATGCATTGTCACAAACATTTTTTTTAAACGTGCATTGTTCTTCTAATAAAAGAAAATGGTCAAAAAATTAAACCAGTGCAGATGCAAAACCAAAACTCCCAAATCAGTGTTGTTAACTGTCTACGTTTAACAGAAACGTTAGCTTAACATGTTTTACTAGGCAGTTTTGCATTTTGTGTCTTCGACAAACAGCCGTCTATTAAGCTTAATGGAGGCAACTGTGGATCAATACACTAAAGTGTGTCCCGCTCTACCTTATCTCTCCCCCATTCTGATATTTTTCTAGCACAATTAATTGTCTCCTTTTGGGTTCTCCTTATTGCTTGCTTCCCCTTTTTCTCAGAAAAACCTGCTAAAGATGCAATTGAAAAAGTAGTTAAAACAACAACAAAAAACACTGCTTGCAGCTTGATTCAACAAGGTGATGTAATTGTGGCCTGAATGCGCATTCCTGAGCAGTGAGACGGACCCAGCTGTATACGAGCATTTGCTGTGTGATTTTTGGGCCCGCCATAAGAGTTCAGCTCTCATTTGTGCCTGAAGTTTGCTTTAAAAACTCAGGTGTGTCTTGTCTTTCCCGTGGTTCTGTTTTTGTCAAAGGAAGTGAGCCATTTATTGTTCTTTGTGTTTCCTCCCTCAGCTCGTCTTTTTCCCTCCACTTTTCTTCTTACCTCATCTGTTCGTCCCTCTGTTGGACACTGCTCTGCCCATCCCCCTTTCTCCCGCTTACCCCCCCCCCCATTCTTTGTGACTGCTCCACCCACAACCTCACTTTACAGCATACTGTCTTCTCCCATTCCTCTTCTTTTCCCTCTCTTTCATTATGTGTATTTGTGGCACACGCCAGGGTTTATCACTCCCCAGGGTGCTCAAGTTCACAAAACACTGTGATAAACAGAGTGTGTCGGCAGGAGGGCCGGGCGGCCCTCCCATCCACTCCAGCACGTGCTCTGTTCAGTGTTACTGAAAAGGTTTACATGTTAATGGAGCGTGCTGTATATATCTGGGAATTTATATTTTCTTCTTTGTGTAGAAACACAGCTGACACATTAAATTACTCCCTTTGTTGGCACAAAAGAAAAATCGGACAAAGAGATTTGAGTCCATTTCCAGGAGTCGGACAGCCTTGTCTAATATAATTACACCTGAACAAAGAATTCTGAACAACAAAGACACAGTCATGATTTGTACTTGTTAAGTGTGACAACAAGATAATGGATTTTTCTTAAACTGTTCGGTCTAATGTTACTATCTGTTTCATGTATTCCAAGAATCATTGATTATCATTTTTTTTTATTGACAAGAGTCAGAATGAATTTCTGTTTATTCTTGTTATGGGAAAGGAAAGAGGAATCTGAATTTTCAAAGCACAACCATTTTAAAACTGATGGTGAACTGCACAGCAGCTGTGCAGCAGAGAAAAGCAAACAGTCTAATGCAGAAGAGACATGATGTTCAAAGCCACAATGCAGCTCTTGTTCAATTGAATTTTTTAGGTGTGAGTTGTTTGTGGGGTTGTGATCAGCTTTTAGCCATCACTCAAAGATCAGGCAGGTTTTTGACAGCCGTATAATGCATGAAAGGCCTTATGCTCATTTCACGCAAACAAACACACACAGTTGAACCCAGCTGTCTGGACAATATATTTTTCGTTAACCACAGTACTTCCCCTAATGTACACGTCCACCTATTAAATGGAGTGGCGCAATGCCCCCGTGGACAGTGAGAAAAACTTTTCTTCCGCAGCTTCATCTGTGGGAGATCAGTGTATGCGTGAGCAAAACTGAACTTTCTAATCATTTATTAGAGCTGAGCAATCATTTTTGTAACTGAATAAATAGTGTGCGCTGTAACCATAGCTATAAAAAGACACACACACACACACGTGTATATGGATGCATGTGCATATAGAGTTGTATGATCACTGTGTTCACCTTGTAAGCTGGACGCAATCTGAACAACGTCGTCATACACCATCAGGGTGGCAGCTCTTTCTGGGAGTAGGTCCAAACTGATTGAGGAAAACACTGGAAAAGAAACAAACCACCACAAAATGCACATGTTACTAAATTCACAGTAAGATTAAAAGCATACTGCTCTTAACTGATCACTATCATGTATTACAAGTCATTAGATCATTTTCTTCATTTTTAGGAGGCCTGCTTTCATCCTGTCAGCAGTCTGACCCTGCAAACGGCACTTCTTTCCTCTTCCTTCCTTCTTTTCACTACTCTATTGTTCAGAGCTGGTAAGCGTGATAATCCATTTGGCCGCCGTTCCATTGGCTCATAATAACGCCCCAAATCCACCACCCAAATGCAACACACACACAAACTACAGGCTCTTGGGAGGTATTATGGGTGTGTGTGTGTGTTAGTGAAAGTGAAGCTTAAGCATCAGCCCCCCCCCATGCAGGGTTTTTGGCATTTAGCGTAATAAATTAGTAATGTAGCAGACCACTTATCAGCTCAAGCGCCAGGCAGAAACTTCCTTTATTTTCATTTCATGCGCACACACACTTACTGAATCGCACACCTACCAGGTAATCTGGAGGGGGTCCAGGGAACAGAGTTAGGCACATATCCCTGTTTGGTTGCACTGACGACCAGCGGCGTCCCGAGGCGGTACGGGAAGCGCAGGTAGGCGTTTCCATCAGCCGATGAGGTTTCCGTGTTTACAGGAGTGTGGTTGGCAAAGAGCTGTATGGTGGCTGCTGACAGGGGCTGGTGAGTGCTGGCGTCGCTCAGGTGAACCTTCAGAGTCACCTCTGTGAACAGACAGTTCCACATGTATTCAGCCTGCGTTTGGGTCGCTGTCAGAGCAAAGCGCTGCATACGAAGAGCAGGAAGGAGTGATATACGGGCTTCACACACCACAGTGTTATTATTACAGCCGTCTAAAAAGACCAACATTACATTAACGGGATTAAGTTTTTGTGCCAGACGCTTTGACCTCCATTCCACATCCCAACAAAAGAGACAGCCGTCTGACCATTTTCTGGACACTGGCCAGTGGCACTTCCCCTCTCACACAATGGATAATTCCCCTCTCGCAAAGAGGCTTTGAACCTGATGGGAAAAACAACTGCACATAAAACTCCTCTGACGGAGATTTAAGTTGCAATTTTCGAAGAATTCAGTTAATGCAAAATATTTTTTCTCTAATTTACTAATAACTTTGTATTCTAAACATGTGTATAATTCTAACCTAAATGCTCAAATCTCGCATTACTAAAAAACTGAAATAGTTGTTTCAGACACTTTTAGTGAGACAAGCGTAGATCTCAATTACCTGTTACTCAGACTTTGATGCTTCATTGAACCGAGTTTAGGGAAGACCTCATGCAATTCAGATTTTTTATTTTCTATAGATTTAAAGCCATTTAAATTTACTGCGTTTTTACTCTTATAACCTGCATATAGAAAAAAGATTGCAACAAATGAATTAATGACAGTTCCTGGATTAATGAGCACCCTCTTTAACAAATTCAGGCCAGATCCATCACATACCGGCATATGAAAAAGAAAAAAAAAAGACAAAGTAAATCAGTAAATCTGAGGAAAAGTGCCTGACTGACGTTTCTGTTCACATTACTTACTCTACAGGCTACAGTCACTTAGAAAAACATAGCTTTTTATTTCTAACACTGTCAAGTTTCAACACTGTCAACTGTCAACAAAAACACCCTTATTTCATCTTTTGTGTTTGCAAAGGGATCTTTGCTCATACTTGGGAGTGTTGGTCCCCGTTACTCCAATCCAACTCCAACCTTCAAATCTTATGGTAGTCTTGTTTAAAAACAGGAAACCCAAATTTTGTCTCAGCGTATCACAAGCCGGAGTCAATTTCATCTCCATTTCCCAGGGGGGCGATAAAAAGAAACTTGATGGAAAGACACCCCACCATTTTGTCACCTACACAAAGCCACCCGGTCCCAGTCTTTGAACACATGACAGCCAGGGCCATGTTTGATCGCTGGCTGCGGGCTGACCCATGTTGACCTTTTACTTGGAGCCAAAAGCTTTCCCCACCTCCCCCCCTACTCGCTGAAATTTGTCATAACTCTTTCTTCGAACCCCACCCTCTTTGACACACATGCTAAAACACATACCTACTCCTTGGCTAGACACATTCCCCTCCCCCAGCTAGGGATCTCTTGGTCACTGAAAAGCCACCCGGTCGATCTGAGGAGGAGAGTTCAGCCACAGTGCAAGCTCCCACTAAAAGTAGAGCACTAAATGAACGGGTAGGAGGTGACCGGTGCCCAGAAAAGGTGAGATTTGGCAGAGCAGTGTGTGATTTTCAAACCAAACACACGATTATCCTCTGGTGTGAAGCTCTGATCTGAGCCCTCTCCTTCAGTGCATTTCTATCACAGCAGACGAGTGGAAAACATGGCTGGATTTCCCCTTGACAGAAACTATTCACTGCCTTAAAAGATTGCGTGTATGTTGGGGGGGATCATGACCTCACTTCCTGTCCCACTCCCACTGATATGCTACTAGGGGTACCAGCTGTGCTCACTTAAAATGAAAACTCCCCCGGGAGACTCAAGACTGACACACACACACACGCACATGCACACACACATGCACACACAGCCCCTCCCCGTCCTCATCCAATAAATCAGTATTGAGGTGACATCATTGTTAAACAAGCTGGGAGTCTATTCTGTGCTCCACCAAACAAGAAAGACCATCAGCCTGAAGATCGACCCAAGGCCCCGATTCTGCGGTGGAACCGCCGTCCGCGTATCCGCCTCTTACTCACCGACTTCCTATCTGTGTGGTGAACACCATATGGAGCAGGGAGGCATCAAAGAGCTCAGCCTGACCAACGCAGTGTTCTCAGACCAATTATGCCCCGCGACAGCCGCCGAAGCAGCGGGGTGGTTGAGGGAGTTTGGATGCAAGGGGAAACAGATACACCCATTAAATTTCAGAGAGGGTTTCCATTTCTGCACCACCTCACAGAGGTGTGATGCGGTGGAAATGGACGGCGTGGCTGGCCTCGGCAGGGTGTGTGACAGATTGTGGCTTTGTTCAAAAGGGATGGCGGGAAGCTGAAGGCTCGATTTTACACAGCGCAAAATGTGGCGGACACACAGGCGCTCGCCGCTGCTCTGTAATTGGTGGTTTGTCACAAGTAAGCCGAGCAAACCCCGGAGTGCTCCCGTCATAAAGACGCTCTGCATTTTTCTGCATATTCAACAGCAAAAAGTTGCCTATTTCTGATCATTTAAGACTATAGGACAACTATAATGGCCTTCTTGATGTTTAATTTAGGGCAGGTGCCTTCAGTTGTATGATTCAACATATAAAACCAGCAAGCTCGTAATGAAATTGGGGGGGGCTTATTGCAATCAGTGCAAATGAATTTATGGTCAGCGGAAAAAATAAACTCCTTTATAGGGAGGGCTGTGACTTGAAAGTGGGGGAATTTGACTGTCTCAAGCAGAAGCACATGGTTAATTATGGAAAGATACAGAAATCATGTGAGAAGAGTGGAGGAGCAGAGCACTGAACAATGAGCGCACGAAACACTGGAGATCTGTCCGTTGTGGTGCAGGACAAAAATCCTCACTTTATTTCCATGCTCTGCACTGAGGCATGAGGCACGCTGTTGCTGTAAACAGACCCTGAAGCCAGAAGTTAATGAGTGACACCACGCATGCCTTTGCAACCTCGTGTACCAGATTGTTATTTCAGTTTGTCTGACTGCGGCAAAAGGACATCACAGTAGCCAAAGTTTGCTTTTTTATTTTTAGCGGTGGCTCCGCAAAATACAATGAAAAAAAAAAAAGCTTATTCTTACTATTTTCCTTTGAGAACAGAGGGAAATGACAAGAAAAAGAAACATAAGAAAGAAACCTGATTTCACTCTAATGGGACTTTAAAAAAAGAATATCCCTAAACTGGTATTTTTATACTAAAGCCATCTGTTCTTGCAAATGGGTAACCCCCATTATGTCCATTTCTCTGGACCAAACCTATTTTGATCTCACTGCAGCACTACTTCACCGACTGTGTCCCCCAGTATGGCCATGATCACCATTCCTGTTGAACGTCTGAGTAAACAACCCCGCAATGCTCTGTGCTGGAGCCCTGTTTTTAGGGGAATCAGCACAGTGTCAAAACTGAAACGTTCCATTTTCAATAGTCGCATTCACCGGCTCTATGGCTTCTGCTTACGTTTGTAAGCTGTGTTTATATTCAGAAGTCTCCTCGGAAGCTCCTGACTAGCTGCGATGAGAAATCAGGGAGAATGAAGGAAAGCATTTCTCCTGTCAGGTGCAGCTTGCATTGGTTTCTCATTTCAAGGACACAGAGTATAACTCAATGCAGTGTCATGATATTACAGCAAATGAACCCCCCCCCCTTCCATCCAAGGAATAACGTCCCAAATGACATTTTCAGCGTGTCTCATCTAATATATGAAGCTAGACTCGCTTACGTATGATTTGACTTGCTTCTCGTGTCTGCTGCTGTCTTTTACACAAATATTTCTGTTCGGCATTTCTCTCCTGTTTTTTTCGCTCCTTTCACACAGCCTGTCCTTTGTGTAACTCACTAGCAACTGACTGAATGTTATGTCAACAAAAGGCACCAAAAATAAGGGACTAAAGTTTGAAAAATAAATAACTTAAGGGTTAATTGGACTTTATCCCTTAGACTGCCCTCGGCTATTTTGCCTCATCTGGATTAAAGCTTAGCTCAGACTGTAACTGTCCTTTGCATTAACTCAGCAGGGGAGCTAGTAATTAGGTTACATCAACAAGCTAATGACCTCTCTTCTGTCCACGTAATGCTCCGTCAAAACACTGTAAGACCATCCCTGACCTCATCTCTAAATGGAGCCCTTTCTCACGACCTGATGTTGATGTATCCCCTCCTAATCAGGTCAGTATTAGCCCTCACACAGCTTCTTGTGATTAAAATCAAACTTGGCTAGCGGGTGACAACACAGTTTTATTGGCCTGCTTCCTGGCAGCCTCCGTCCAGCTTCAGCAAATGTTTGTCTGTCATGCCATGCCTATTATGGGCAGCAGTAATGCGAGTGAGATCTATATCTGCGGGTAGATGGTCCGTCTGGCTCCACTCCTCCTAGTTGCTTGCAGGATTGACCAGGAAGGAACCTTCAGTATCGACCTGAACGCAACTTACCCCCCCCCCTTCCAGAGAACCGAAGGTCAGTCTGAGGCAAAGTGAACACCAGACAGGGAGAGAGGGAACCGGACCCAGGACAGATTTCAAAGTGCAACAATCAAAAACCTTGGACATATCTCACCCTGTTTTTTGGCTTAAACAGAGGTTGTTGAGTATAGCCAGGAACCAACTAAATGGAAAGCATTAGCCACTTCTGGATTTTTCCACAACTCTTGGCTGATGTACAGAGATCCTAGCTGTAAGTTTACATTCACGCTCCTACTGTTAACACAACTGTGGAGAGAGGCCCAAATGTAGGCCAGCCAAAAGCGTCAGCAAACACAGACGACTGCGATGCGGCTGTGTTTGGGAGGACACATAAAAAGTGATGGGTAAACCAGATGTAGCTCCATGCTGGCAGCTACTCCAGGGCAGCTTTGAGATTAGTGGATGAAGAAGATGCAGAAAGATTCCCGTGATCCATATCTGCTTTCAGAGGCAGCATGCGTCTGCTACCGTGGGGAGAGGATGCCCTCTGACAGACCCCTTTTAATGTACCAACCTGCCAGAGGGGATTAGTACTTGCACTTTGCTGTCACGCTGCTGCCGAAACTGTAATCTGCAGTTTAAAAGGTACTTTAGGCTCCTCTCATCCGTAATATCCGTTTTGTGCTTTGAATCTAATTTCAGTTATATTTGTCAGCAAAGATTTTCCTCACTAAATTGTCTGTTCTGTAACACCAGCTGGGAAATCCCATTATCTTCATCAAGCTTTGAGGGAGCTAAAATAAATAAAATAAATAAATAAATAAAACTAAAAAAAGAAAGGGAACTGGCTTTGTGTGAAAGTGTTGTTTGTCTCTTGGTGTAAAAAACCACAAAAAAAAAAGGTAACATAACCCATTTAACCTTTTTGACAAAGACTGGTGGTATAAATCCAGATACTTTTTCCACCAATTAAGTGCAATATTTTAAAAGTCTATTTATCCAGAAATTAGTAAAAGAAAAACCTTAAAGTGTGATTCTTTAAAGGAGGTTTCACCACGTCAGCATTATGTTTGCTTTTTGCCTATTTAACTATTTCAGAATTAACTTTTGCTCGGTTGCCTCCTTGAAGTCGATTTTCAATCGTTTTATCAAGACAAACCCCGCATGTGGATTAAAACGAATAAAACACATGTAGATAATTCGCTCCTAATAAGGGTAATACAAATAACTAATTTAGACCTAATTTTGTGCTAATTTAATGACTGTAGGACACCTGAGTGCATGGTGTGAACAAGAACCGTCAACTTCAACACTTAGTCAGGAGATACATAAATAAACACACACGTCGTGGTGAATTTGAAACAATAGAATTTATAGACAACAATGTGTGATAAGACAGAAAGACCCAAACTCTACGTCCTCAAACATGGCTTTTAAAACAAACACAAAAAAAAAAATCACAGACGCAGTACTCGTGTTTTCAGGGATGAGTAGCGTGTTTTTTTCTTTTATTATCAAAACTGTGGGAATGAGGCAGGCTGAAACACGATTTGAAGCCAAGCCCACACCAGCACTTTGTATCACAACCCCCCCCCCCAAAAAAAAAGAAGAAAAGTTACTCTTTGAATGTGTCGCCAGCTAACTTGCTAACGTTAGCTAAGTTTGGATCAGCTCAGCATCCGAGCGGGCTAACGGCTCCGTTAGCCTCCACAGCTGCCTGCTAACCGGACCAACACGTTTCGCTTCCCCCCCTCCCCACAATTATTTATTTATATATTTTTATTTACCTTGTGTGACCGTGTCCTCCGGTGATGTTTTGGTGGCTGCTTCGGAGACGAGGTATCCCAAAAGGCAGAGCACAATCACAGAGGTCCTACACCAGTCCGCAGCCCACATCATTGCAGATGTGTGTATCAAAGCAAACGGTTCGATAAACAAAGTAAGTCCAAATGTTTCGCCTTTACAAACTCACTGGGGCTCCACGATCGCGTTTATTCCGCAGAGGAGGGGATTCTCCATGCTCAGCAGCACCAGCAGTCCGGATTTTCAGCATGTAAGGCTGTGTTGCTCCTGCCCTGCCGTGCATCCCCTGCCCCTTCACTGCTCCGTCTCTCTTTTTTTTTCATCGACGGGCCAGGGTCAGAGAGGAAGACGGCCCCATTCCTCCGAGCTTCATGCCCGAGAAACAGCACCTACAGGCGGCTTGATCCACACGCAGCACCGCCTCAACCCGCGGAGCCCGAGCGCCACCTTCTGGTGAAATGGAGCTATATATTTCACAGCTGCTTTCTATCATGCTTCATTTGAAATTTTCTACATTTTTGCGTCAACAAAATTATCATAATTCAATGTACTACATGCAAAATATTCTAAACATTCTAGATAATTTAGATTACACTTAGATGTCTCTTGTATGTAGAATTAACTGTAACTTGGATCACCAAACAATGTAAAATGTTTTTTTAATGTTTGTTTTCTGCTTTTAACTGAGTGCATTTGGTTTGATTAAATTGATAGATCTTTGCATATTTACTACATTTCAGCAAACTGGAAGCAATTTGATGCTAAGCATTCAACTGAGTCTGCTCAGTGGGCTTGTGTCCCCTTAGTCATATTTTCACCTTATAAATCACTTACTTTGGAGTTCATCTGAACTACTACAAGTGCAGCACTAAAGCTGTCCGCAAGGGAGAGAGGAGATTACTTTTTCAGTGTTTGCAGCATGTGCTGGGGATACCTGTAGAACTGATGGCATAAAAAAATGCCAGTAAAGCTACTAAAAATAACAGGACGCCATCACACACCCTCTACATATTGTAGAGGGTGTGTGATGTCTTGTTCCATACTTCAACGCTTACTAGTTTCTTCTTCATGTATCTTCGCGTTATCACTGTCAGTTGAATTCATGAATTCAGTTTTATACAATTTGTCTTTCTTGAATACCCAGCCAAACCAAATTGTCAATGACTTTGGATCTTGACCTTCAAACACACTTAATCTAAGGACTATATATAAGTATGCCAGCCCTTAGCATTCAATATACAGTGCATCATATTTGAAGACTGTGTTATTTAATGGTAATTTCATTTATTACTAACATGGGCACGGCATCAACATCAACTCCTCCATGTTTGCTCATTTTCACAGCTCAACAAACACCCCCTTACTGTATCAATGGAAATAAAAGACAGTGGCAACTTTGGCATGGAAAGCTTTCCGACCCAAAATACTTTCTTAAAACTTTCCTTCTCTTTGGCAGATCTTTTGTTATTATCTTTGCCTAAAAACCAGTTCTCCAACCCGCCTGCTACTGTTGTTCTTTCCTCTATGTGCTGTAATGTTTTCCTTATTCTGCACCAGAGGAAGTCTAACTATATCCGCTTTGTCTGAATCAAAATATTTATAAAGTCACTTTGTCACCGTGAAAGCATTCTGCAGTTGATCTGGTCACATGAGAAACTGGGAGTTTCCTTTTTGACATCGGCCATTGCAGACAGATAAAGCATGTTGTGCCATCGACGCAGAGTCTGCTTCCAGTGGTGACGATCTGCTGCCCTAACATGAAGCTCTCGGCTGCAATCATCCTTCTTCTCTTCTCTGTGTCTGTCTTCTCTCAAAGTAAGAACCAACTTGGATGTAATGGTGCTACTTTTTTGCTCCAAACATCGAAATGTTTAACATTTATGCAACCTGCCGCTGGGGCTCTTGTTTCACTTTTCTGCGTATGAAGAGTGTAATAACAAGACCAGGAAAAATTTGATCCCAAAATATAGTTTGCAATTGTTTTCTATGACTGGACATTATACCTAAAGTTTGTATTCTCCACTGCATTGTTTTTCAGTTTCTGTTGAACTCAACTATTTCGTGGGCTGCTTTTTGAACAGCACTGCTGCCATTCAATTTGAGTTTAATGGGGAGCTGATGTCATATGTTGATTTCCAAAGAAAGGAGGTTGTGTACACTGTACCCTCTTTTATTGATCCTGATCCAGCGCAAGTTTTGCTGGGTCTGAGTATCCTAAGAGATGCTTTTCAGAACAGTGAATTCTGTGCACTACTGATAACTATGGCTAAAGTGGAAAAGGAAATTCCAGCTGAAGAAAAAGGTAATAAACAAATCTTTACGTTTATTTCTGTAGGTTTACAAATGGCTGATTAGTCTCTCATTCTTTCTCTTTACCAACTAAAGAACCTCCAGAGTGCATGATCTTCCCCACAAGAGAAGTAGAACCAGGTGTAGAGAACAGCCTTATCTGCTTTGTAGATAATTTTTTCCCACCTTACATCAAAGTCAACTGGACAAAAAATGGCCAACCGGTGTATGAGGGGGTGTCACTAAGTCGATATATCTCCAACAAAGACCAAACCTTTAGGCAGTTATCTACCTTGACATTCCAACCAAGTGAAGGGGACATTTACAGCTGCTCTGTGGAGCATTCAGCCTTGGAGATGCCCACCACACGGATCTGGGGTAAATGTTCTTTCCTGATACAGCAATTGAAAATAAAATGATCAACTGTGTATAATGATACATTTTCCCTCCAACCTATTCCACAGAAGTTGAATTCATCGAGACAGATGAAAGTCTTGGACCAGATATTTTCTGTGGAGTGGGTCTGGCCCTGGGTTTGCTAGGAATTTCTATTGGAACATTTTTCATTGTTAAGGGACATCATGCACAGTAATGTCACTGTTGTTAAAAGTAATAAATATCTTACGGGAGGTTTTGGATTGCACCATTTATCTGAATTTAAATGCATGCATGAAGCCCATGCATAAGTGTTTTCAACCTGTGCTGCAAACTGGAATCAACTTTTTGGGTTTCTTTAAGAACAAATATGTACAGATTTTCTGCTTACGGTTTATTTTGATGTGAAATAAAATGAAAGAAATCCACCATGTCTTTTTAACAATGTCTGTGATTTAATAAAAACATTTCCACAAAAAATTCTGTATGTTTGGCTCTATCTTTTTTTAATAATCTGACAATTCTTATGGATGTTGCAGAATAAAAAAACATCTCATTAACTTTGCATCATTATTCGTGTCGATTGTACACAGTGTGCATAATGCTCATATCAAAGTTCTTTCACGCTTACCCGCCTTTGTTTTCAGCTGTGTGGCATTTTGGATCAGCTGCTTAGTCTTCTTTTTTTATCCTTACCACACAGAAAACAGCACGTGTTATACTTATGTTTGTCATGTATTTACTTAACCAGACAGCTGCCTGCTGCAGCTCCTGAGGGATGGGAGCCTCCGGGAATCCATGTTGTAGCTTGGTACTGTTTGAAGTATCAGAAACCAACACATTTTGGATGTTGTTTCTCAGAGTAAACTAAGTTCGCCTTTTCTTTGAGACCATAGATGCTTTAATTATGTCTCATCGTCTGGTGTTTTCCTACTGGTTGGACTTTAATGCAAAATGTCTCTTTCTATTTCAACCAGATCCCTGAGACTGTTAATTAAATGCAGGAAAGTAGTGTTTTAAGGATATTAGTTGAACAAACAGAACCTGATGACTTCTACCAGTGCAGTGCCGATATCGTGTGCAATTACAAAAACAAGTTATACTGCATGGAGGTACACATGTAGCTAAAAAAAAAAAAAATTAGCACCATTGCCACGCCTACACCGGTGAAAATATGGCGATGTACTTCCTTATTTTTTCTGACAGACTTCTATCCTCAGGTTAGATCGCCCCGCTTGTCAACATGTCTCGTGGTCTCGACTTCTTCATTTTGTTTGAGCTGTTTTTGGTGTTTTTATCAGAAGGTAGGTCATATCCCCTTATTTTGTGTTTCTGGTTCACAGAATCTGATATACATTTTTTGTCAATTTTAAGAAATATCTTTTGATGTTCATTTTCCAGGTACTCTCTATGGTCATTATGATGCTCGTTGCCAATCTAGTTCCCATGACGGGCAGGACGCCGTGCTTTTGGAGCAGTTCTACATCAACAAGAAGTTGGAAGCTCAGTACAACAGTACTTTAGGGAAAATTGTTGGATACACAAAGAAAGCTAAAGAACTGGCTGATCTGCTTAACAAATCGCCCAATTATCTACATCATCAAATATGGAAAGCTAATCTTTGCAAAAAAAACACCCCCCTAGCATACGAAGGCCTACTGACACCAGGTAATTTACATCTTTTTATTGCAATTTACTTGGCATGGCAGTGACAGCAGTCACCTGGAGTACCTTGTACATTACGGCAGTACAGTGAGGGATTCAGCTTTACAAATGCAAAGTGCAAAGGAGGATGTGGCCTTTTACTGTTGCATTTTGTTTTGTTTTTTGTGTGTATTTTCTAGTGGAGCCCTATGTGTGGCTAAGGACTGCCCAAGCAGGGAGCAGCAAACATCCACTCATACTCATTTGCAGCGCCTATGACTTTTACCCCAAAATGATCAGGGTTTCATGGTTGAGAGATGGAGAAGAGGTGAAAACGTACGTGACATCCACAGAAGAGCTGCCCAACGGGAACTGGCTCTACCAGATGCACTCCTATCTGGAGCTCACACCAAAACCCGGAGAGAAAATCAGCTGCATGGTGGAGCATGCCAGCCTCATGGAGCCCAAGCTTTACCACTGGGGTAAAAGATTTGATGTTTTTTATAAAGTCATAGCTACTCTTAGTTTTGAATTATCACGCAAGAAATTTGAACAATTCATTCTAGTACTGAAAAGAAATGTATGGTTATTTCTACACCATTCACACAATACATTTATAAGAATTTCCTGTTTTAAACTAAAGGAAAAAAACAAACTATTTCATTTAAACACCATCTTTATATTCCAGTCTGACCTCCTATGGTCCTCAGACAGCTCAAACACACACAAAAGCAGTAACACGTTTTTACGGTGTAATTTTATATTCGATACTTCAAAGGCACTTAAATATAACTTACAAAATATCAAATGTGGCCTTTTATAGCTATGTTTCACTGTAAAAAATATTTGTCGCCTAAACCTTCTCTGATACAGAACTAAGTAATTTTACTTTTAATAATCTAAATGAGCACAGTAAAAAATGCCTTTTACCTGGAGCTTCTATCACCAAAAAGCTTAAACTTTATCGTTCATATAAAATGTAATATTTGTAAACACAGAATTCAGTGTACATATTGGTGCTACAGCCTTGAGTGAATCTGTAAAATATGAGGTTGGGATTGTGATAAATAGCCTAATTTATAGTCAGGCATGAATAAACCTGTCAATTTCATTGTATAAATAATTTTATAGTTCTATTTATTAAATCAGTAAGCATACTATGAATAATATGAGCACAAAATAACATTTAACACTGTGCATTATGAATATGGTTTTAGAGCCAAAGCTCGACTTCAAGATGAATGAGATTGCTGTGGGCTCCGCCGGGCTGATACTGGGTCTGTTGTTCTCAGTTAGTGGGTTTATCTACTACAAGAAGAAAACAATTGGTAAGAAGTTTATTTTACTCAGCCATGAATTTACCATTGAAAAAAGATCCTTGTAATTTTGATTTTGAAAACAGAAAACAGGCAGTAATGCATCAAAATGTGGACCTTTTTTTTTTGCTTTTATCAAAACACAGAGCGAGTGGCGGTGCCAACAACAGAGGTATGTGTTTATATATCAAAACAATCTTTTCATTACTTGAACTGAAGTATTCATGGAAACATTTGTCTCCCAAAACCTGTTCTGTAGGTGTTTTACCCTGATGCAGCACTTTAACACAGGTGACACTGGTGGAATCTTTACAGAGACGCTGACTCTGTTTGAATCTGATGACAACTCTCATTTATATACTTTTATTTTCTTTTTAAGTCTGCACTTGCCAAATGTCTGTATTTTGCTATCATTGTGAATTGTGGTTCCCTTTTGTTTGATACTTTATTTCTATTCTCAGGGCTGTTTGAGGTCAACTAAGTAGTAATCAATGTTCAAACCATGATTACTTTGTTTTAGTTCTCCAGCACACAAACTCACATGCTCCCCCAGAGACACATCCCCACTTGTGCTGAAAAGAGAACATGATACTTTAATTTCACCTCTACTGTACAGCAGACAGGAGAGGACGACTCTTGTTTACAATAAACCCAGTTTACCACAAGGACTGCATCTGGTATCTTTCGTTTTTTTTCAGGCTGCAATATTGCCCCCAAGTGGCCAAATATGATTTAATACAGCAATTAGTCATGATGCAAAAGCCATTACCATTCATTTCCTTAAGCTCCTTTTTACAGTTTCTGAGTATTGAATAAGGGAATACTTAATTATGGACACTTAATCAATTCCTAAAGCTTTAGACCATTCATAATCTATTCTTTCTATGCACAGCTGCTTTGGACAAGTTAGTGTCCTACTTTTGGTAAAAGATTTCCACGTTGGAAATACCTGAAACATATTTGTCAAAGCATTAAAGTACATTGGACACTGAAAAGGTAACCTTAAATGAACCGTGTGACAGCGGGTGTCATCATGAAGACCCAATTCATGAAAAAAGCCAGTTCCTTAGTGTACTTTCACATGAACACTCCATTCTGAAGTTTGAGGAAGTTGGCAGTCGGGTTTCTGTAATTGCTGTCATTATTGAAGCTCGTTGGTAGACTTTGTCCATGCTCATTCGACTGAGGCAAAAAGTCTATGTACTAAGTGAACAGAACATACGGAAGCTGGAAAGTATTGAGGTACGGACTAATATTTTCTTCTTCAAACGCCATGAAATGATGTGATTATGCAATTTGAGAAAACTTCCAGTGGTGGACAGAGACTACATTTCTCTAACAACGACCCAATCTAATCTAATCCTGCAGAACGGGTCAGACAGCTGTGGCACTGAACACAAACACAGAACAAGGAAGTTGAGGCTAAGGCTTTTGTTTTTGCACAATCTTAGCGTGTGAGATTTAAAGCTTTGATATGTGCAGAGTTTGAAGAGCGAGAGCCTCCAAAATGATGACCCGCTGCTTTCAACTCGCAATCCTGTTGCTGAACAGCTGCTGTGTCTTCTCACAATGTAAGCGTTCCTTTAAAGTTTGCTTCACTTTTTTAGTAACACAAATCTTAACCATTTGTGTGACAGATTCAACTGTCTGGAGTACCAGAGGCTGAAACAGAAGATAAAAGTTATGATCAACATTCGTGATATAGCTCTGTATCATTATGGAATTGTAAAATATTTTTTGTTCCTTTCCAGTTGCCCATGACATTACTTATACCGTGGGCTGCTTTGACAACAGCTCAACCGAGGTGCAGTTAGAGTTCGACTCTGAGGAACTGTTTCATGTGGATTTTAAAAAAGGAGAGGTGGAATACACCGGACCTGCCTTCCTTGAGGTTGACCTGAAAGAGTTATTCAAGAATCTCAATGTATATAATAATGCCCTGAAAAACAAGAAAGCGTGCTCAGCAGTTCTGGCATACTGCACATTGGACGCCAAACATTTACCAGAGGAGAGAGGTAAAAGACACTCACTATTTTCTACTTTTCTGCTGTAGAATGACATGTACAGTGTAGTATCACGACAGGATAAACAGGATAATTTTCATGTGATAGATTGCAAAGGGTTTACATTTGCAATATTTTTAATTGATGTGAGTGATGGCTAACTCAAACAATCATCTTCATTGTGATGTGGTTGATCATATTTAGTCAGCGTTTTGACCCCACAATTATAAAGCACTCACGCACAATGATTAGCCACAGCATTATGACCACCTGTCTGATAATAAGTAGATGGGATGTCTGAGAATGTCCAAAATAGTTTGGTACCAGAACTTTGTGTGGAGCCCTTCAGGCTCTTTTTAATTTACTTAAAGCACACAAAGACCTTGAATAACATGAAAGAATGGATCGATCCAGTGTACTAATCATGGTTCTGGTTATTTTTGAATGTGCAAAAAGTTAGATGGAAAAGGTCTGGTTAAGAAAATCCATTAAGAGGGGCAATGAAAACTGCATTAATTGAACACATAATATGAGAACACATAAATTCATTTTAAATAATCCGAACAAATTAAAGCAGATTTGATTCAAACTGTTTAAGTGGATCAGCTGCTGTAATGGTTGCTTCTTTTTCGTCATCTATCAGCCCTCAGAACATCCAGATGACATGAAAAACTGTTTTGTCATTTGAGGCCTTTACAAAATAAGAAATACTATTTTTTGCATTTATCTACGAGGAAACTCTCACCAAGTTTGTGTGAAAATGGTATAACATGTAATCCACATGTGACCATTGTCAATAAAAGAGAACAACCGTCTAATTTCAGCAGCCATAAGGATGAATCAAATTGAGAAAAAAAGGTTGATACATTTAACTTGATGAACAACAAACCATTTTTGTTTTTAAGCTTTTGTTACACAACTTCACTTTTAACCTCAAATCACTTCTTTTGTAAATGTGAACTTTAACATTGGTTATTGGTTATTTTTTGTAAGAAGATATAATTGTTAATGTTGTAATAATGTGTTTGTTTGTTTGTTTTTGTTTGTTTTTGTTTGGACCCAACAAAGACCCTCCTGAGAACATCATTTACACCGCAGAAGAAATCAAGCTGGGGGTAGAAAACACCCTTATCTGCTTTGTGAACCATTTCTACCCACCTTTCATCGAAGTCAGCTGGACCAAAAATGGAGTTCCAGTAACAGAGGGGGTTTCAACCAGTCAATATTATCCCAATCAAGACCAAACGTTCCACCAGTTCTCCACCCTGAGGTTCACTCCAAGCGAGACGGACACCTACAGCTGCACTGTGGAACATGTGGCCTTGGAGAGTCCTAAGACCAGAATCTGGGGTCATTATTTTGTCGTGTCTAAATAGAAATGTAACATGCTGATTTGTTGTTGAATACCCAATACTAATATCAATGTTGTGTTTCCCCACAGAAGCTGATTTCAGCCATCAAAGCAGTGAAAAGGATGTTTTCTTTGGAGTGGCTCTGTGTCTTGGCTTGTTGGGCTGTGTAGCTGGAATATATTTAATGGTCAGAGTTAGACAGAGACGTTAATTTCCCTGTCCTTATCATTATAGTGATACACAAATATGTAATCGTTTCAGCGTTGGTTGTAAATAAACTCAGATTTTTACCAGTTTTTCTTTGACAGTATTTATGTATATTTAATTTGATTTGATAATGCATTAAATATTGTCCTATGTGTGTTAGGAAATTAATGTTATTCTCTGAATAAAACTGAGATTCGGACTTCCTGTGTTTTGCAAAGTCTCCTGTCTGCCTCCTTAGCAGGTCACTAGTTTTCACTCTGTTATTCGGCCTTTCACTGATACTTGGCTCACTGTTTCAATGTTCCTGTTTGCCTTCCAGATTCTCCATTTTGACCAGTTTGCTTTATGTAGGTTCCCCCTTTCGATACTTCACCCATACCCAGATACAGTATATCGGTATTTCTCCCCCGCCATAATGAGCGTGCTCGTATTTGCAAATCATTTTAATACTCATCACAAATAGAAAAAAGTTACATTTCATGGCCATAATGACATGAGATGACATATTAGGACACATCTACGGCAACTGGCTCTACATACTAAGATCTGGGAGTACGAACATCCATTTTTTATCATTTGACTTACAGGACACATCGTACGATCATTTATTTTTCGTAACTCATTCTTGTTAATTTAGTATTCATTCAGACGTTTACTGCCTTTTTTTGCTGTTGAATGACCTGATGTCACATTTGGACTTTTGGGGATCTGTCATTTTGGGCCGAGGTAAGCCGTATTTTTATTCAATAGAATAAAATGTGCCCAAACATGTTTCACAAACATTATTGTCCGCCTATCCTCTGATACATTGTCTTTATATTATACTACAGAAATACAATATTCTACAACGTCAACCTCACTTACAAATATATATTAAGTAAACATTTCAAAGCTGCGGATAAAATGCCATTGAACAATTTGTGAAATCATAGATCCTGGGTATGCAGATTTGAATCTAGTTATACATTATTGAATGGGTTATTCATTTGGTCAAGGTTTTGCTTGAATAAGTTATTATCTGCTCTCCAAATTGATCTCCCTGGATTAGAGTGAAAATGTTTTTGATGGATGTTGTAACGCAGTTGTTCAAGAGCATAGAATATTCCCTCCCCCAAGAAATAGACTTGCAAATTAAACAAATCATTAAAGATTTCCTGCTTTTGTGTGATCTTTTATTAATGTACACAAGGGGAATTTGAAAACACAACTCTCATCTTATGAAATCAAAAGAAATGTTTCTCCCTCACCACTTCCTTACAAGAAAGGAATAAAAACTGAAATGGTTGTTTCTCATGTGACATGGTAGACCTTTTCAGCCCTGCTATAAACAGTCTTAGGTCGCAGACTTACACATTTTGCCATTTTCGATGACACAAACCTGCATTAAACATCACAGCATACTGCAGTTTGTCTGCAAATGGGGGCTCTGATATGTATTTTGTAAGTTTGTTTTGACGTTGAAAAAAAAATTCAGGAATTATATTCACTTTATACTTTGTTAATACATTGTTTTATTAAATTGAAAATAATTAAATGTTAACTAAACCGACACCATAAATTTCACAGTATGAATATTTTAGACTGGATTGTTGAAGGGGAAAAATTTGAAAAGGCTCCTGTTTTGTTTCTGTCTCTATTAATCCTTCAAAATGTGGAAACAAAAGACCAACGATTTAGAGAACCACACCTACTTACTGCTGCACCTGCTTAAAAAAAAAAAGATCCGGGCAGTCTGGTGAACCACTTCCTTGTGTTTTTAGTCTTGCACTGTGCTTTCTGTTTTCATTTCTTTTTGTTTGGCACCATGCTCGCTCTTCAAGGCTTCGTGTGGTTACTATTCGTTTTGTTCTCAAGTGCAAGTAAGTAACCAAAAAAAAGACATTCAGGGCACATAAAACTAATGTCTTCCTATTTTAAATCTTTAGGCTCTATTATGTGGGAATAAACAGTGAGGCTGAACGTTGCTGGATTTATCTTCCAGATGCCTTCTATGTTTATGGTTTGCTTCGCTGCCAGTTCACATCCACCCAGGACCTGCTGTATCTGGAGCAAATCTACTTTAACAAGGTCCTCCTGCTGCAGTTCAACAGCACTCTGGGAGAGTACAGGGGCTACACTAAGAAAGCAAAGGACGTTGCAGACGGTCTCAACAAAAGCAAAAGATTTCGGGAGCAAGCCATGAAGAACCGAGAGAAATGCCGAGCCTACCAACCCCAGGCATTTGGGCTGCTTTCAGAACCAGGTGATTTGTGCCTGTCATGTATTAACTCTTATCACGCTTGTATTTCACGCCTATCAGCTGTATTTACTTTATACATGTAGAGAGTCAAAACACAGCCAGTAATCTTTACAGGAAGCCTGTTTGGTGTTGTTTAAAGGAGAAAAGCCGTGCTGATCAGCATGTATTCACTGCTGGCATTCATTTTTATATAAGATCATTTTTTCAGATTCAACTGCTTTGGTATTTTTAGCAACTTCACAGTTAAACTACTATACATTTTTTGGTTTGTTTGATGTGATAATAAGAGAATTTGTGTCTCTCTAATCAGCTGTTGAAGGACCATTGTACTCACTAGTGTGGAGTCAGTTTTGGGGAACGACTAGTTCCCCCTTTTTAAGGAGGAACCTTCAATCCCAATTTAAGATATGTAATACCCACCCACGCCCCACAGCGTGTGTCTCTGTTTCAGCCACATGCAGATAACCTATTTGATTTCTCTGCTTGACCTTTCCCAAAGCAAAACTCCAGCAGTGATCCACTTCACACTATGGTCAGACAAACTCTGACCGTACCATTTCCCTTTTAACCACTTTGACTCTTGAAATTCCCCTTTAATTGATTGACAATGACTGTATTTTCTGACCCTGTGGTTAAGATTACAAAGGATTTTTGTTTCTATAAATATTTCACAGTATGGAGTACAACAGGGCCCAGGTGGATGCAATCTGGGAACTTTCTTGTTTCTGTCATTACCTCTTCACACTTTCTGGGACATGTCTTTTCATTGTTTTCTCCTCTTTTTGTGGAAGGTTGTCCTATGTCGTGCTGTTTTGTGAAAATCCCTTAGGGAACTTTGGGCTTACATATATAACACTATGGAATCTCTTGAAACATTTCTCCTTTTACCATACTTTCTATCACTGGCCTTTCAAAGCTCCTCACAGTTGAGCTGATCAGCCTGGCATCTGGGTCCAAGGAGCCAAACTAGTTTGTGTCAAAAAGAGTGAAATTCTCTTGCTTGAAAAAATGATCAAAGCCTCTGAGTGATGAATACTTCCAGCTTAGTTTGTTCTTTGCGACACGAAGTTCTGAACTAATGCCATTTGTTTCGTTACATCTAGTTGAGCCATCCGTGAAACTGACTTCAGTGGAGGTTCCGGGCAACAAACATCGAAGCTTGCTCATTTGCAGTGCTTACGACTTTTACCCCAAACCGATCAAACTGTCATGGTTGAGGAATGGGAAGGAGGTAACAACTGAAGTGACATCCACTGAGGAGCTGCCCGATGGAAACTGGCTGTACCAGGTTCACTCCCATCTGGAGTTCACGCCCAATTCCAAAGATAAAATAACATGTCAGGTGGAGCATGCCAGCCTCATGGAGCCAAAGCTTTATAACTGGGGTGAGAGGCTAAGGCCTGGATTCATCCTGAAATTGCAATATTCTTAAAAATAGAAATGTACAACATGTACAATAAGTCCAATATTGTATCTGTGTTCTGTGTGTTTTTAGAGCCGACGCCCAAGACGAAGTTTAATAAGGTCATTGTTGGGACCATGGTGCTCGTGTTAGGCGTGGTTTTTTTTCTTGCTGGATTGGTTTTATACAAGAGAACCACCTCTGGTAAGACAATCAAAAAATGCCTACACTTAAATCTTTCCGCCACAAGCGTTAGCAGCTAATGCTGTGCAGAGATTTCTGGGCTCACTTGTTCAAATGTATCTGTTTTATTGTGGTTGCTGTGGCGTTTTCCGTCAGTGGCATCAAACAGCAGAAAACATTGATGACCTGAAACTCTTAATGTCTCACCATTTTCTTAAATTCTAGTTCGGATGCCGGTGCCAACGAGTGTCTCCTAATTTTGGATGAAACATCTGTGAGAAGACAGAAAAAGTACAATTATCCAGAGGTGGTATTGTGGGGAAACTAAATGATGACCTGAAACTTGAAATAATCAGGGAAGACATTGCAAATTTCTCTGTTGAAGTGAAACTTTACTTCTTCTGTGCAGAGGTGAAAAGGCTGGACATTGGGAGTCCTTTTTGTTTAATCATTGAAAAAGTATGTAGCCAGATTGATCTCTTTAAATTCGACGAAGGGACGCTTATAAAGTTTTATCTAAGACATGGATATGATGTGAAGGGGCCCTCTGTTCAGAACCTTTGGAGAGAAACTCATTTCAGAAAGACCAGGGCATGTAAATCAGAATCACTGCTTCACAATCACAACTTAAAGTCAGGACTAAATAACAAAGTAGCTGGTTGGAAGACTTTTATCTGCATAACAACATGAACAATAAACGTCTTGTCCAGAGATAAATGCTTCTCCACCTCACCACAGGATTACTAACTAGTTTTATGCTTTTATGATACTTGAACCTTTTATTCTTCATCAACAAGACAATATACGGTATCGTGCTTCAAAAGGGAAAGCCTGTGTGTTTGTGTTTGTGTGTGTGCGTGTGTGTGTGTGATTACCTCAAACTTTCATTTGTTTCAACAAATAACTAACAGCTGGACACGTACACATATTTAAACAGAAATTAATTAAAAACAAGGAGAACACAATTAGGTGATTATAAGCTTTGAGATCTGCATGTTCTGTAAACTTACCACATTTCTAACTAAATGAAAAGTATTTTTAATTGAAAATCATATTTGTACATTACACAAGTGTGTTTTCTATTTATCATGTTGCATAAGTCAGCTTGTGGACAGATAGACCTGTTAACACTGAGATATGTGAGTGTAAATAAAGTGATATGAAACAATTCTGTGAAAATTCATTTAGACCCTCTCAATAACATATTTAAATGTGAACTTTGATTTATCAGTCATCTCTCTGTTCCTCCTCTTGTAGACAGCCCATCTTACTGTGAACTGTTACATTTTCAGGTACAATGAGTCTTTTTTCTCCTTTCTTCCTTCAATTACATACTTTAGCAAGCATTTGAAGGTCAGAGTTTGGTAGAGTCGTGTACTATGACTGAGAACATGTGTAAATTTGGATGAGATTTTTAGCTATATACATTAGGTCATTAGCATACTCAACATTCCTCAGAGGTTCACAATTAAAAGAAATAAAACTTGGCAGCCACCAGTCAAATGTTTAAACACACCAACTTTTTGTAAATTAATGAGTGTCCAAATTTTTGACTGCTTGATCTGTGTGGAATACTCAGTTTCTCTCCAATAAGAGAACACCTCTGACACCTGAAATCATGCATGTGAAAATATAAGTCCAGATCACATCCAACACATCAATCTCTGTGCTGACAAATAATACATTTTTCAAAATTCACCCCTAACAACTACAGCATTGGTTCTAATAATGAACATATCCAACATATCCAACCCAACGCTATCATGAGGGATATTATGCTTTAAGAAGAGCACTGTCTTTCCCTCCCATGGTAAATAACTTTGATATGACCCAGTTTCACTCCATCTCTTGGGCAGAAGTGCCCATGGTTCTGTCTTACCGACAAGTGAGTAGTGCTTGAATGTGGCCTGATGCTTCAGACAAGTAAATTGAGTGGTGCAAATAAGTATGTAGACATAGGTGTTAGACATACTGTAAACTTGTTGTGTCTTCCACTGCTGGCTTTTTCACACAATCCTAGATTCTTGTTGTCCTCAATGCTGTTTTTTGTTCATTTAACAGACCCAACAGAGGGGATCAGCGCTGCATTGACCCCTGCTCAGATACCTGAAGAAGATTTGACCGAGAGACTATTGTTGGTCCCTCTGAGTCTCTCAGAGTTCCATTAACAAGCCATTAATGTTAAACTTCATCATGTCTATACTGGCCTCAGTAGGGGACAATGTAGCACAACATGGAAATGCAACCAACCTAAAAGGTTACTGTGTGCAAAGGAAGTATATCTCAGCTTTAGTTCATGCGATAATTTCGGTTTCCAAGAGGTGTTCATGGGACATTGTTGTGATTTTAAAACAGTTTAGTTTTAGGGTTAATGATATGGGATTCTTGTTATCTGGTTAAAACATTTAGATACTGTGCAAATGCATATTCTATCATATGTGCCAGTAGAGCGTGTGCTTATGTTGTAAGTAGCCTACTTGTTGAAAAATAGGTCATCTAATCAATGCTATCTCTGGACCTCTCTTAGATCTGTTCAGAACAACATCCCTTAACTTGGTTCTCTCATTATGTCACAGTCTGAACGCGTGGGCCTGTGAGACAGAACTCAGGGAATATAAGACCCACGTCCTCACGCTCACAGCTGCCTGCGTTCTCAACGAAATAATGAGCCGTTTCGGATTTTATTGTATTTTTCTCTTCTTATTAGTAAAAAGCCCGAGTCTGATTCTTTTCGTATGTTTCGCCATTTATGTCTACATTCATTTCAGGACGCGATGAAAAACCAAAGATGCCTGAAAGGAAGAAGTGGGCGAGAATCTGATGGCATACAGACGATCGCACAGATCTGACATCCCCCCCGTCATCTCCGTTACAATCTGTTTACAAATACGTCACAGATTTCTCGTCCTTGTCACCGGGGGTGTGCGTGGCGTCAGACCGGAGCGATAAACTGGGATGGTCCCGGCCAGGAGGTCGACATCACCAACCGGGTCAGGCGGAACAGACGTTACCGGGCCAGAATGGCTGATAAGAACTATTTTTTATAAGGCACAGGATGGCAGGAGGCAGTCTGCGTTCAGTCTGCCGACCGGAGGGAGTGATTCAGAGCACCTGGTAAGATGTAATGATTTATTTAATTTCAAGGGCATAGTTTGACTTATGGAGTCCTTAAGCAGGTGAAGTTACAAAGGCCAACATTAGGTATGTGGAGACTGTCTTGTTTTGGCAGTGAAGTTTTCTTGATTTTAACCTTCGCTGAATTATGCTGGAATACAACTGATGTCTAAAACCTCCCATATTCGCCCTACTCTCCGTTTTTGATAGGTGATATCATCAGAAAATGTTTACCGTGAATTACATCCTGGGTAATCTACAATAAGCTTTTTTTCTGTGTTGATATAGGATGAGACAGGATTTTTTCTACTTTTCTATTTCCGTTCCTTATAAATGAGCAGACTCATATATGTCAAATTAAACACAATTTCACAAACAGTTCTGGTTTGTGTTCTTCACAGATCCTCTCCTGACAACTCTTTGTCCAGATGGGTCTCCTCCTCTCAACCTGGCTTTGTAGACGAGCGTCGGGCAGCAGCCCTTCCTTTTCATCGGCCTTCTCTCTGCTCGCCGTCCCACCTTCCTCCCGCCTTGCGCTCACTCTGAGCTCCTTTCCGGTTTCTCCGGCAGACGGGCGCTCACGCTGGAGCCCGCTCCACTGCTCTCCTCACTTCCTGCTGTCGCCCTGCAAACAGGAGGTGACCCGGGCGCCTGCTGAGCTCAGCAGTGACGTGGCCAGGGCCGAGATGGGAGTGAAGAGTGGGCTCCATGTGTGGGAGGTGCTGTGGAGCCCCACTCACAGAGGGAGCCATGCGGTGGTAGGAGTCTCCAGGCAGGACTGTCCTCTGCAGGCCTCGGGGTACAACGTGTTGCTGGGCGAAGACTCGCAGTCCTGGGGCTGGGAGCTTCAAAGCAATCAGCTCTGGCACAAAGGACAAACTGTGGGGTGTTACCCATGTAAAAGGACAAAATGTCACTCCAAAGCCACAGAGGGTTCTGTGCTACAATCCAACGTCTCACCGAACAAAAAGCAGACAGAGACGCCTCTCCTCATCCCCGAGCGTGTTCTGCTGGTTTTGGATGCCGACCTAGGGACTCTGGGCTTTGTTGTTGATGGCAGCTTCCTGGGTGTAGCTTTTCAGGGGCTTCCTCGAGGAGTGGAACTGTTTCCTGCAGTGAGCAGCGTAAGAGGGGGGGCCCACATACGATTACGATATCTGAACGGCACCACATGTGAGTGTCACATGTAATATTCCAAATTATCATGAGGCACACCGTAATTCTAATATGTTAATAAATACACTAATACTTTATCCCTTCTCTGTTTTTAGGTAACCCTCCGGCCCTGATGGCTTTAAGTGGACTGTCAATTTGTCAGTTTTTAGGGCAGCAAAGGCAGCATGAAATGTGCAAACTGCCTCTCCCACCATTGCTTCAGCACTACCTGCAATCCTGTTTCCAGTTTCAGCACACACTCACACCCAGTAGAGATGCATCAGTCCCATTTGAATAAAACATTTTTTACCTGCATGTCTATAAATTGTTTTTCTATATGGTACTAGGTATATTTTGAGTTAAATCAGACAGCACTGTTAAAGCTTGAGATTGCTGCTTTGAATCTGTGGATAGCCATATACAGTCACAGAAAGATGAAGTCAAACAGTGTCTATGCTCCACTTAAAACCTGAACCACATTTTTTTTGTTTTGCTTTTTGAAATAGATATGACTTCTGAAGCCTATTCTGTGGTTCATTTATACAAATACAAAAATGCCCTGGGTCAGATTGAGACCTTGGAGGGTCAGTTGTCAAGGTTGATATTTTTTTCCAAGTTTAAGCTCAGCCATGCCTTTAGTTATCATATGTAAATGAACTTAATTTCACTATGGGTCCTACTCCCCACGCTGCACCCCTAACAATGGCAACTAGGTTGACGTTTTGGTTTTAACAGTCCTTTTAAAACCCACATGAATATTTTACAATTCATGTAAATGGACAGATTTACTGTTGTAAATGCAGATTGACCACATTTCTAAAATTAATTTTAATTTTAAGGATCAAGATACATTTAAAGCACATGACAAGCACATAACAAATGTCAGTTTCCTTACCTTACTGAAAGCCACTGTGGGAGGAGGCGAGAGATACTTCCGGGGGGGGGGGGGTGAAAGGTTGTAGAAATTCTACAGTCAAGACATATTTAGGTACCTTTAAGGGAAAACAAAAAAAACATATCTATCTCAAACATAAACTGATTGGAAAAAAGTAAAAACATCTAAATAAATTGCCTAAAGCGAGTTTCTGTTATCCTCTGTCTCTAAAACCAACACAGCAGCGTTCAGTTCAGTTCGCTCCGATCCACGTTGCCATGACAACAGAGAAAGAGCGCGCGGAAACGTGACATAAAGCCTGCTGATAAAAGCGCCTAAAACAGTGATTTTCCATCGTCTCATAAGACGGGCTGCAACAGTTTTCTTATATATGGCAAGTGAGTGAAACCAAATACATCCTCAGACTGCACGTAGGTACATGTTTCGAAACTTAGTGGAGACGTAATCTATCTTTTTTAAGTAAAGTTAGTTAGCTTGCATCATTCATTCCCAGAAACTTGTATGCTACGGAAAAAAATGCTCTTGTATATTCATTTGGAGGGAGCATGAAACGTGTATGGTACAAGAAAAAGTACTGCAGTACTGTGTACTGTGTGGTTTGTCTCTGCTTTTGTTAAAATGTCTTCATATAGTTTATTTACCGTAGTTCAGAAGTTAGATCCTCTTTTCCGGTACTTCACCAAATCATGTGATGAAGTGTTTAATGACTTAAGACTACTGGTGTTTGTAGTGATGCTATTATACAGCATTATACCATGCTGTCTCAAAGAATTCACTTTTATCAATGTTACTAAACAAAAAATGCTCGAGTGAATATCTGTGGAGTTTTAGAGTTTTACCTAGTCAAGAATGATACAGTTAGCCTTGCACACATTTCTGATTTTGAATAATTATATAGCATTCATAAAATGTTCAGATGCTCCAAATAATATATTAAAAGCACACAATCACTTACTAATATGACTCCATCCCTTTGTCCTAGACAAAATAGCAGCTGCTATGGAAGATTTGGGAAGAGGAGGGATAGTTTTGGGGGGCCCTCGCAGGAATCCTGATGAGGAAGAGGAGGACACTTCACCTGCAGTAGGCACAGACTATTACAATTCCAAAAAGAACTGTTTGCAGAACTATAAGCAGCCAAATAAACCCTTACATTTATATTTAGGTTTTATTGAGTGTTATGGCACAGCATGGGCAGGTGGGACTCTGCTTCTATGACAGCGAAGACTCCTCTTTACACTATATGGTCGACACCCCTGATAACGATGACCTCCTTCTACTGGCCAGAAGTAAACTAAACATCTTTTTCATACATCAAAGTTTTTGTGTGTTCGGCAAATTGACTTGAGTTGGTGTGTTGGAGATTTTGGTACTAAATGTTGAAGTAGGTCACTGCATCCAGTGCATTGACCAAAATTTATTTTGAACTTCTTAATGTGGAATGTATGGCATCTTGGTTGTCCAGTCATTCAGGAGGTCAGTCCCCATGTAATCATTACCAGTGCAAAGCAGGAACGCTGTATGACTCGCTACCTACAACAGCTTGGTGAGTTTATTGTTTTCGATGTAGCGTGGGACAAGTTGTTTCTGGGTCAAGGGAAGTACAGTAGATTAGCAATGTTTGACAGTGTAGCCTGTTAATGTGATAAGAGGAAGTTTGACTGTTATCTGATATACACTGTTTTTACATTTAAATAGCATATGCAAGCACCTCAATCTGAAACCAGTGCTTTTGTCATTTACATTGTTTCTAAACTGGCTTCCTGAATTTCAGGTTCTGACCCCCACTACAAACCAGAGGTGGTTACTTACCCATATGTCGACTTTGGTAAACAGAGACTCATAAAGAAATCTATACATCCCTTGTCAGGCAGATTTTTTACCTGGACTGTGCTGCTTCATTATGCTTTAATTTTGAATTTTGTAGGTTTGGAGGTTGGCAAACAGAGGCTGCTCTCCGCCCATCTGCCTTTTCTTCCGGCGGGCATTTCAGAAAGAGACAAAATGTCTTACCTCTCCTCCTGCATTACTTTTGACTCGCCTCTGATGGTGAGCCAGCAGTTTATATACCCACTGATATTTCATGGCTCTACAGAAGCTGATCGTAAACTACAGCATCCATCATTTTCTGGTATCTGAGTGTGCGTTTTTGTTGCTTAGCTTAGGGCAGTGGGTGCGCTATTAAAATGTCTGGACAGGAGGAGAGTGGGAGTAGAGCTGGAAGACAGCAGTGTTGGAGTTCCAATTCTGCAGTTTCATGCCTACACGCTGTGAGACACACTAAAATGTTGTTACCCACACACACGCATTTGACATTGATAATACGCTCTCAATATTAAGGCATTAAAATGTTTAGTTTTTTTTCTGCCCGTAATTTATCTGCACAGGTTTTTGGCATGCTTTTGTGACTTTCTCAGTTTATTGTGTAAAGTGATCTGTGGTCTTTCTAACAACAAGCCAAAGCAGTCAATCGTGATACAGAAGGTTTTATGAATGAAAAACGTACCATCTCTGAAGCGCCTTCATTTTGCTTGTAGGAAAGGTGTGGTGTACATTGACAGGGACACCTATAGGTAAGTATAAACGCAATTCCCTGAAGAAAAAAGCAACTTCAAAATGAATTGTTACCTGGTTAAGATCCTCCCCTGCCAATTATTTTTAACGTGTTTCCCAGCTCAAACACACCAATTGGTTCGGGTGTAGTGTTATTTTTTACTTTGAAAGGTTTTCTAACTGAATGGATTCTGTAAGTGGTGGTCACCAGAGGAGCTGGTTGAATTATGTAAATTTTATGAAAACAAGTTTCTTCGTTCGTTGAATTAAGGTTGTTTTTTTTTGTCCAAAACTTTTTTGCAAAATCATACAAAATGTATGCCATCTGAGGTTTGGATTAAATAAGAAAAAGACAAGATTTCTGCATTTGTTTTAGTGTACTGCAAATCTTCAAGTCGGACCTTCACCCATCAGTATACAAGCTGCAGTCAGGCGAAAAGGAGGGACTCAGTCTTTATGGTATGCCTGTCAGCAATTCCGGCTAGTCTCACTCTTTCCTGTGAAAAAGTGTTCCCACTGAGTAATCATTCTTTTTGTGGATCACAGGGATACTAAACCGTTGCAGGAGCAAGTTTGGCTCAAAGTTGCTGCGGTGAGCAAAGAATTTGATTTAGTTTAAACCTAAACACAATCAAAACAGTGTTTTAATTCTACTTGTTTTAAAGGAAAATCACTATAATTTCCTTGCACTGTTTGCATTCATCTACTCTAATTATGGTTTAAGGTGAGTGTAATTGTAAGCAGTGTCCTTCTCTGTGACAGTCAGTGGTTTCTGCGGCCTACCAATGACCTGGGGGTGCTGCACAGGAGGCAGGAAGTGATACGTTTCTTCACATCGCCTCGGCATTCGGACATCCAGAGGACTTTGCAAGCCTTGTTGCGCAACATCAGGAATATACCAGTAAAAGGATGATCATCCCCTCATCTGAGGTGTCACCTTAAACATCTATATCATGTCACAGTTTCCATCTCTGTGTTTGTGTGTTGCAGAATCTCCTACGCCGTATGTCTCTCTCTCACACCAAAGTGACTGACTGGCAGAGTCTATACAAGGTCTGAACCTCTGTACCCACAGTGTTACTGTAACTCTCACGTATGTATGGGTTTGTTAAAGAGGGACATAAATGAGTTTGTGCTGGTTTTTCAGACAGTTTACAGTGCAGTGTGCATCAGGGACACAGTGCGAGCGCTGCCTCAGTCCATTCAGTTGTTTCGCGATATCGTTGAAGGGTTGTCCGATGACCTCCACTATATCGCCTCTCTAATCAGTCGCGTTGTGAGTCCCTCCCATTCTATTTTGATCTTTCCACAGTTTTTACACAAAACATACACAGATTAATTAGCTTTTGTAGCAGGGGGCTGTTGTACACAAAGCTGGGGATGTGGTCCTAATGTGTTTACAACATGTGTGCAGGTGGATTTTGAAAGCAGCTCAGAGGAAAATCGCTTCACTATCAAAGCGAATGTGGATCCTTCCATCGATGAAAGTGAGCTCTGTCATTTCAGTTATTGAGTTAAGTTATTACGACCTTTATTTAAACTCAGCATTGTGTTGTGGCTGACAGAAAAGAGGAGGATGATGGGGCTTTCTGACTTCCTCACTGACGTTGCCAGAAGAGAGCTTGAACATCTGGACCCTCAAATCCCCTCCTGCTGTGTCATTTACATCCCACTGGTCAGATCTCTGTGTTGTTGCATAAATTAATGTGTTTTTATCCTTAAAGTAGTTTTTCTTTAAATACAAGCATACTGGGTAAAACTCACCATGCAGATTGGATTCCTGCTATCGGTGCCTCGGCTGCCCAGCATGGTGGAGAAAGAGGATTTTGAGATGGAGGGGCTCGATTTTATGGTTCGTTTGGGATCTTGTGGTATTTGTTTTCTCTTACATGAAAACAAAATACATCATTTTCAATATCCTCAACATTATCCTGTGTTTATGTGAAGTGTAGTTCCTTTCAGAGGACCGACTTCACTACCGGAGCCAGAGAACCAGGGAGCTGGACAACCTGCTGGGAGACTTACATTGTGACATTAGAGGTGTTTTTCATTTGATAATGATCGCTTGATAGTTGATCACTTGATTGTTTCTGGTGGTTTTCTCATCACACCCAATAAGATATTATTTCCCATGATAACCATCCTGTTCCTCAGACATGGAGACAACAGTGATGACACAATTGCAGAATGCAGTCCTTGAGAGAAGCACTTCGCTCAATCGGGTTTGTGGGCTTCATTTGGCATATGCAGATTTTAGTGTTTAAAACATAACCCCTTTCTGATGAAAATATTTTTTATGAGAGTAGTGCTTTCAATGTGTGGGTGGCTTTGTTGTGATTAAAAGTGCTTCTTCTGATAGATTAAATTGTTTGTCTTGATCATAGAACCAGTTTGATCCTGTGACACATTCCCTTTTAACAGCTGTGATGTGTATCTCTTAACGGTTGTTATTTTTTATCGCATAATGATCGTCCGGGACAGCAGGTGAATTATTGTGTTTGTTTGAGTATGCACACCAACTGTGAGGCAGACTGCAACATGGCACTTTAATTAATCAAAAGACAACAGTTTTTCTCTGAACCACCCACCGACTCTAAGCTTTTTCATAATTTAGAGAATGTATTTAGAGAAAAGTCTTAAACTCAAAGCTACAACTTGCTGCTTATTTTTCTCTGTGTGCCCTGTGGTTCCCTAGTCGGAATATTTTTGCCAATATATTTCACTGAGATGCTTCCTTCTCAGTTTTAATGCCTGGCAGTGTCGTCATTGCAACTGGTTTATATTTGATTTGGCAGCTGTTTTTTTCTGATGAGGGAGACTGCTGTGGTTATCAGGAATTTACTGTTTTACTGTTTAGGTGATGGATCTCACTGCTGAGTTGGACTGTCTGATGGCTTTGAGCAGTGCCTCCCAGGAGTATGGGTACACCTCAGCCAAGCTTGCCAACCACAGAAAAATAATAATCACACAGGGCAGGTAGACACTCACACAGTAGGTATGAATTATTTATATGCATTTGAATATTCCACTCTCTGTACTTACTGTTTTGCAGACACCCACTATTGGAGCTGTGCTCTCCTGTGTTTGTGGCCAATTCCGTCTACAGCTATGAAACTGAGGGCAGAGTCAAGATCATCACTGGTCCCAACTCATCTGGAAAGAGCATCTTCCTCAAACAGGTGGGAAAATCGGACATCCCTCGTAGCAATTACGTACGACAGAATCTTTCACAAATAAAAATGTAATTATGTAATTATGCAAATTAGTCAGTTCTCTGTTTTTGCTTTAGCTGCTTTAGGATTGTTTTTTTCAGCTAAACCCATCAAAGAGCCGAGTAAAAAATAATGTGCAAGCCGTGTCGGTATACAAGTGGGAAAAGAATAATTATGAACTAAATTAACTTTTTTTCAACATTTGTTTTACCATAGGTTCATAAACTGTTTTCATGAGTTATGAGATTGTTTTTTAGAACTACTGAACTTTATTAGTCATAAGGAGAGTCTCTAAACTCATTTGTAACTTATAACAAAACAATTAAAGAACTGTGAAAACAGTTAAGGGATTTTTTTGATGAGATTGTTTTAATGTCTGGTATAGAGTACTCCAGGATACCTTGCATCCAGTGATTTTATGACTATTGGCTCTCTTTTTCTAATGGTTTCGCAAAGGTTGGCCTGATTATGTTCATGGCTCTGATTGGCTCAGACGTGCCAGCGAAGGCGGCAGAGATCGGCCTGGTGGACGGGATTTTCACTCGCATGCAGAGCAGGGAGTCTGTGTCTGTGGGTCTCAGCACTTTCATGATAGACCTCAACCAGGTACCTCACAGATACACACATACTTTTTTGAACGCGTGTGTGTGTGTGTGGGTGAGTGTATCAAAGTACCAACACTGCTGTTCTCTTGCTCACCTCCCACTCTCCACCTGTTAAGATGTTTTTTTTTTATAAAGCACTGGTTGTTCTTCCTACACCCACAAACAATAAAAGACCAAAGTGCAGTACAACAGTTTGATGCTCTTTTCCAGATGGCCCAGGCTCTGAACAACAGCTCTGGCAACTCATTAGTTCTCATCGATGAATTTGGAAAAGGAACCAACACAGTAAGAAGAGACTTTGTGCATTGAGTGTTTATGCATAATATAAGACGCAATGTGTCATTGTTATGAGGCATTAGGGGACCTTCAGGTCAGGCCAACATGTGAGAAAAGAGAGGCGGCTGCTTAGATCTGCAGATGCATAAACAACTGTGATGCTTTGTTTCCTGGCCATAAAGTGTGACTGCTGGTTAAGGAGTCTGGCTGTGACCTTCTTTTTTTTATTATTATTTTTTTTAATCAGCACCTCTGGTGTGATTTAATTCTAAATATATCTGAGTATTATCCAAATGAAACCACGCTGCTCTATCATATGCTACTGCTTGTTCACATAATCAATATATAAACAGAAAAGATGAAAATATGAGGATATATGAAGCATGCACAGCTAACAGGTCAACTGGTCAGTGAATCCAGTTATTTGCTTTCGGATTTAAAAGGTCTTTCTGATTGTTTTCCTCCCAGCATAAAATCGCAGCCTGTCATTGGCTTGTTTACGGAGTTATGTCTGAATTAAGACTGAAAAGTTTGACAAAAAGTTGCTTCAACCATAGTCAGAATTACAATGTTCCCCTCAGGTGGATGGACTGTCTCTATTGGCAGCATCAATCTCTTACTGGCTAAGAAAGGCTCCGGTGGATGTTCCTCACATCTTTTTGGCCACAAACTTCCACAGTCTGCTACAGCTGGAGCTGCTGCCGACCAATAGACTGCTGTCTTTTCTGGTAGGGTCTGATACCAAATGAGCAAACTCAGCTAAATGTTGCCATAGGCATGTGTCTAATGATGGGACCATAACATGCTCAATAATTAAAGGCTAGATACATTTGACAGCACTTTGTGAGCGTTTGTGTTTGTTAGACCCTGGAGACAGCTGTGGATGGAGATGAGTTGGTGTTTCTGTACCAGCTGAAGGAAGGGATCTGCCGGTCCAGCTACGCTGCCAACATCGCTACGCTGGCAGGCCTGCCAGCTGGCCTCGTCCGCCGAGCAGTGGAGGTAAACACACACAAATATGCACAGAAGCATGTTCCCTGACTGACTGTGATCTTATGTTCCATAAGGTGTCTGAACACTACAGGACAGGGAAGCCCATCAAACGCACCGACCAACAAACTTCAGAGGAGCAGGCGAAGAGGTCGGTTAACCTTTAATTTCATAAAATGATATTTAGACATCCGCGTGTGGGGCCTAAGGGTGTGTGCACCTTACAGGTGCATGTCCATAGTGGAGAAGTTCCTGAATTTGGACCTGGAGGACAAAGATTTGGATCTGCAGGGTTTCATGAAAGATGAGCTTCTGCCATCTGCTGGAGAGCTGCTGAACCACAGCTGAGCAGCGCTCTGACTGCAGCAAACCTGTTTCCACAGCACAGTGGTCAGTTTGTTCGGTTACTCATACACTCTGAGGCATCAGGATGGAAGCAAATTATTCATAGTCAACAGAAACTGGAGCTTATGTGTGGTGCAATGGTTGTAGTTACACAAAAACAAAAAGGTCTGTTTCATTGTTTTAAGTGCTGTGTGGACATTTCCAAGCATTGAGTATTACAGAAAAACAAAGTGGGTTTAGTTTAGATACAACAATAAATTATTTCATGAAAAGTTATTTTCATGCCATGAATACCTAGTGTCTCCTTATTTATTAGTCAGTACAAAACTTCTCTAAAGCTGGCAGTTTTTCTTCACCATATGGTTGAAGTCCTTTCAGCATCACTTCACACGGTCTTGCTGAAAGCAAAAACAGATAACTGTGAGTCCACACAGATCACGTCAAGGCTTCGATTAGATGCCAGGCAGTTAAGAAAGCCACCGCAAGATGCCCAATTGTGTAGCCAGAAAGTGTTTGTGCCGAGTTGCAGAAGGGCGTGTCGCAGCAGTGTTTGGTCATGGCGAAAATGGTGTTGTTTGAAAAGAGCTCCACGGTGGTCTCCACATCACACTCCTCTGCCTTTACACAGCCCAGCGTCTTTACATCCAGAGCATCAGCTGTGGAAAGACGTGATGCCAGTCAGGGAATTTACACTTTCCATGGCTTAGGCAACGATACACAGACATACACTAATAGAAAGTGAGGGGGGATTCTGCACACCTGCTCTCCCACGGCCTGTGTAGCAGAGCTCCCCGCGGCTGCAGTTGGTTTCGGTCGTGTAGCAGGCATCCCAGAAGCCCAGGTCACAGCGGAAACACTCCAGGTACTCTTCCTCCTGTTCCAATACCACAGACTCTACCAGCTGCTCCAGCTGCTCCTCCTCCTCACCTGAGCCCAAAGAATACCACTGCCATGATTTTCGTGTGTTTTTTCCCCACTAAACATGGTGCTTAAGAGCAATGACGAAAGAGTAAAAAGCATGAGTGGACCAACATGAAGTGACTATGATGAGCGCTTTAGAGTTATTTAAGCAGTCCTGCTTCACTCAGATTTGGAAAAGACAACAGTCGAAAGGTTAGAGAAACAGTAATGAGCAGAAAATACACATGCTCTAAACATGATACAAATACGCAGAATAACTGATTTTGAGAGATTTGCATAATAAGGCAGGCTGTTTGACACATCCTGAGGGTGCTGACAGCTCCGTTCTTTTTTCGGAGAAAATCCAACCAAACTCCCAACGTTGCAACACATTCTGTTTAACACATCTCAAAAATGTTTTGTTTACTCTGCAGCACTTTGGACTTTTCTTCAGCGAGTAGATGGCGTGTGTTGATCAGTGAGTGCTCCGAGTCTGATTTCAGGCTTAGGACAGATAATGGCAATGTCACTAGAATCCAATCAACATTTCCAAGCAGCGAGTGTTACAAAAAGAAAAAGTTAGCTCAACAATTATGTCAGGGGTATTTACAGGAGTGGGACAAACCAGGTCCCACAGCAGTTATTTCCCCAGAGTTCAGTTTCAGTTTTCAACTCATTAACAGATTCATTATGTTTTCAGACAACTTTAAAGGCAGCCTGTTGGTGAACAACAGCGCGTTGTTACTCAGGCATTTTTTAACGTGTCACTAATGTCCTCCTCAGGCCATCGGATGTGTTCACTGGTGCTCACAATCCTTATCCCCTTTGATCTTGTTAGTGCTTGCTCAGTTGATTGAGGAGACGTAAAAGGAGTGAGCTGGGTTCATTAGGAAAGAAGAACAGCCTCCTTTTTTATAACCTCATTGTCTAAATCTGTTACCAGTTAATGAGGTTCACTTTTTCTGAAATAGCAGAATCCAACCGACCTGCATTCAAAGTCTCTCTTGGTTAAATTTAGAAAGTTTATTTGACTGTTTTAGGAGATTATTCATGCTTATGGTAATTGTGGGGGATTTAGAGTATGATGTGCTCCTGCATTGTCTTGTAAATTTGTATGATCTTGTGCAACATTTTTATATGAAAGAGGTACGGCTAAATTAGATCCCCCAGTATGACCACAAACACCCTTCCAAATTAGTTTCAGGAGAAATTCTTCATTAGTCTTCACGGAGGTAGGATTTATTATGGACTACTTTCAGATGCAAAATTCTGTTTTCTTTTTTCTTCTGCTCGACACTTATGTGAAAACGTTTGGATTTTAGACTTTTTAAAAAATGACCATAAGGACTCACCTGGTTATTTAGTGACCAGGTGAGTCAACACATTTATTAAGAAAATGAGCTACAGATTGATAAGACATAAAAACTTTCTGTCATATGTTGGACGTTATTACGTTTTCTAGTTTTATGCATAATGACCAGACTATGTTTTTACATTTGAATCAGATTATTCCCTATAGCTTAGAGAAATGTTGTACTTTGAAACATGATCATGGATATGGCATACAAAATGGATAAATACATCCATTATCAACATGTGTAGGGTGAGTAAAAGTGCTCCTCTTTAGCAATCAGACATACATTTGATTTGTGACTGCCATTGAAGGACAGTTGGATTCTGCAGTAATCAGCACAGGCAGCTGTGACACCAGAGGAGAGAACATGCTGCTGGATGTCCACACGCACAGCATCAGGGCTGTAAATGCCAGCCGCAGCCATGTGTGGGGCCCCTTCAGGGACTGCTAAAAAAACACACGTAGGGTTTGGAAAAGTCATCTTACCTCGAGCGGGTGTGAGCATCATGATGACGAAAACGCAGAATATTAGTCCTTTCATTTTGAGTGGGATGCTTCTTCCATTGACAGCACCATGTGAACTGCTGAGGCAACCGGAAGCTGGGCTCAAAGTGGATTAGTCAGTAACGCACTTGCTACTTATTTGGCACCAGTCAGAGCTGCCGAAAGCCTGTGGATCATCAAAAAAGCTCTTTTTTGCCCCAGGAGCTGTAAAGATGTCTTCACAGATTTGTGAAGAAGAAGAATTTAGCCACTAGAAAGATTCTGTGTCTCTTTAAATATCAGAAAATCTCATATCGATGGTTTACTGGCAGTTTTTATTGGCAGGATATACATGGAGTAATACACATAAAAACGCTGGTGACATCCTGCAGATTCGAACAAAGATCTGGATGACAGAAGAAAATAAAGGGTCAAAGTTTCTCCTCTGTATTGGCAAACATCTCTCCCTCCATGTCCGTACGTCTCTTTTTAAAACCCCTTCAACAGACCCCTTTCTGATAAAAAAAGGTGACATCTGTCAGAGAAATAAACACTCTTTTAACCAGGAATTTTCAGTATTTAAAAAAAAAGCCTTGATCTAGCTTCTTTGCTTCTCTCCTGGGGAACAGAGAAATTGCTTGAGACCTGAGTCAGCGCACAGTTAAGCAGCTTACGGCTTCCCGTCCGTCTGCTAAGATATGTATCAATGCATACACACGCACACACACACACACATCCATACAAGCACAATGCTCTCTGAGAGGAGAGGATTTGACTCAGTTATATTTCCAATGCAGCATAAAACCTGCACTGCTGACTTATGTAACACAGCCACGAATATAGATCCAAGTATGAGAGGATTTTTCTTGAATTCCGTGTCGCCGCAGAGCTGTCTGCATGCGTATGTGCGTGCTGACACTATTCCCTCTGGTCAGTGGAGTCTCTCGTTCAAAAAGAATAAGTTATCGCTGGGTGCAGCCTCCGACTCTAAATGCAAACGCCTCATAACACTCCACAGAGCAGGGCGAGAAGAGAGAGCTGCGCTTTTCACTAAAGATGTTGCAACATTGAATCAAGATTCACGCATCTCAGCCCTGCTACTGAAATATACATTCAGAGCCCCCCCCCCCCCCCCCCCCCCATCCTAACCCACTCACTGTGCACCACAGACAAGCGGGTGCTGCTTTAAATGTGTGGCTACAAATTACTATACGCTCAAGTCACAGTCATCATCTGGATGGCAGGATCCCAGCATGGGCCCGAACAACAAGGAAATACTCTGCAGTCCTAGAGCTCCCATAAAAGCCCTCAGACTGATCCCCTGTGTAATTAGAGACCGGAGAAAAGGCTGGCCATAATTAAAATAAATTCCACCCTCCTCTCCTCACCGCTTGTTCAAACGTTCTCGTTATTGGCTTAATTGTACCTGCTAACATTTTCCCCTGCTTTGTTTTTACCCTGTTTCTTTATTTATTTTTGTACTTTTATCGGCTTCCCAGAGGCCACAGATCGAGACGTGTAAGGAGTGTTTGAGTAAAGCGTAGGAAACACGGTGAGGAGAGATGAAAAGGCTGAATGTTGAGAGGACCACTGTTTGTCAGGAATAACATCCTCACCACAACATTTTTTCAATCTAGCTGATTTCTCTCCCTAAGCATGCTAAGATTCTTTAAGCTCCCACCTCAGACCATTTGAGGAAAGGGACGAAACGGAGTAGCCGGCTCTGGGATTCCAAAGAAAATGCCGAATTACTGTAAGAAAGCGAGATCTTGCTTGCGTTCAAAGCACCAGCTGGTATTTATAGCGTGGCTGTAGGTGTCGAGTGAGAGGAGTGTGGCCTTATGCGCCTCTCTTGTTTATACTCAAACACTATTTACCCTGATAAAAACTACACCACACCAGAGATAAGATAAAGATTGATACAGGACCTAATCTGACTCGTCCTCTTAAAGAGAAGCTCTCTGGCAAGGAAATGTCAACTTCTGTGGAAAAGATGAGCAAGACGAAGGTGGGAGTGTGTCGGCCTCCCGGTATGGCACCCCAGTGACTTTTCAGCAAACCTCCTCAGGTCCAAATATGGTCAAACCAGTGTTGGCCGCGGGTTCTGTGTGTGTGTGTGTGTGTGTGTGTGTTTTTTTGGACAAGATGGCAAGTTGACATCCAACAGAAATCGTTCAAACGTGCGTGAGTCAGAAAGCGATGTAGGACAAAAACATCCTTCACAGACAAGTGACTCAGAGCCACCGGGGCCTGGAACTCACCAGCAAACGTTCTGTCCGTTTGTTTGGGAATGCATAGTCTGGTGTGTGTGTGTGTGTGTGTGTGTGTGTCTGCACGTGAAACTCGGAACGTCTCATCATGCATATTTTACGGGGGCTCAGTGTGGAGACTCTGTCCTTACGTTGTAGTCGATCTGACTGGAGTTGCAGGAGTCCGAGGAGAGGGAGATGGACAGGCCGGGGGACGGAGGGCGGGAAGCGGGCTCCTGGTGGTGCAGCACTCTGGTCAGCAGGGTTGACCCCCCCTCCTCCTCCTCCTCCACGTCTTTCTCCCCCTCCCTTTCCCTGTCCACCTCCTCAGAGTCTGCCCCCCCGGCCTGTGGTGGCGGTGCTGGTGTGCTGCTGGCGTGGGGTCTGCTGGGCTCAGGAGGGAGCGGGGGACTCTGGCCGGAGACGGCGGGGGCCCCGTGGGCCGGGGAGGCCCAGGCTGCCCGCTCTGAGTCCGTGTCCTCCCAGCGGTCCTGGGCGGGCGGCTCCTGCGAGTCCTCGCCGCAGCTCTCCCCCTGCAGCCCCTCCAGGTCGTCGGGGCTCTCCCGGCTGAGCACCTCTCGGTCCCGGTTCTCGTAGAGCAGCGTGGCCGCGCAGATGAAGACGAACAGGCCCACGCCCATGACCACGGGCCCGGCCAGCTTCATCCTCTCCACGTGGGTGGCTCCCCGCCCGGCGGCGGGCCGGGCGGCGGCGGACACGTAGCCCGCCACCGCCACGCTCATCCCCACCAGCACCACCAGGGCGCCCAGCAGCAGCCACACGCCGGGGGCCGAGCCCAGCCGCAGGTCGCTGCGCAGGGCCCCCCCGCCCCGCAGGGCCCGCCGGCACGCCCGGACGCAGGCCGGCGAGGAGCGGGAGGAGGAGGAGGGGCTGCAGGCCGGACTGGCGGCTGTCATCCTCTGCTCTGGGGCTGCACACACAGAGAGAGAGAGAGAGGAGCAGAGAGGACATGGGGGCGTCTGTGGGAGAGCACACTGGTCTGGAGGGGAGACTCTGCATTGCACACAACAGGAAATAGCTGCTTTAATAAGACATGTGGCTGAGTTAATGAGATGCCTCTGCAGTTCCTCCTCTGGAGCAACAGAGGCTCCTCACTCAGCCCCCCTAACCCCCCCCCCCCCCCAGACTTTACCGTCATTGGACCACCGAACCTCCATCATTAATGACTGACCCAGTTCAAGATCTTGTGATTTCACTTCACGATCTCACTGCAGTCATGAGAATTGAGTCACGCCACTGTGAAAACGGCACAGTCCTCAACTCAGTACTCAGTACTAATTTAATTCCGAGCCCCCGAGGCAAAGTGGACGTGAGGGGCGATTCGGCGGGACGCAGACGATGAGGATCAGTTTCCCCTGAAGTTGTTTTACGCCGGCGTCCGAAAGCCTCGTAATTGAAATGTAAATATTTATCTGATCGCCTGAATCTGTTGCTCCACAGCAGATCCACTTCATGCTGCGTTAACGTAGCCTGTGTACTGTGTACAGTCACACCGGGTACTTGCCTTGTTTGGGGTACGAATCCGGAGAGAAAACCGGCTCCTCAGCATGATCAAAATACAAAAATCCCGAGTTGCGTTATTCCTCCCACTCCTCCAGTTTGAGTCCCGTGTTAATCCACACTTTCTCCCAGATCCTCCTGCCTCCCAGACGTCTCTTTTTTTTTTTCTCCCCTAATTCTTTTTGTGTGTTACCCCCGGCTTGTCTTCGGGAGCCCGTGGGCAGCGGCTCAGCGGAGCCTGAAATGCAGCTTTTGGAGTAAATAAGAGTAAAAGTGGTGCAGCAGCGCTGCTCTGCCTCCGTCTGCGCGCAGCCTGCGCGTCTGTGCAGCCTGGTCCTCGATCTGTGTGTGTGCGCGCGCGTGTGTGTGTGTGTGTGTGTGTGTGTGTGTGGAGAGGAGGGGGTCGTGGGAATCTTTGGCTGGTCCAGGCCAGTCCCACGGTGAGCCCAGTTCTTTTTTCTCAGCGACCACTAGCCAGCAAGTGTTTAAAAAAAAAAGTCACAGACAGTAGTCCTCTCCCTCCATCCAGCAGCTAGAATGTTCATACAGAAAACCTGGAGAGGGGCTGTACTCCCTCATCTTAACAGCAAATGATGTCCACTTTCAATTCTTTAAGGACTAGCTCAAACTAAAAATACTTCTAGATGTTTCTTCCCACCACTTCCAAACAAAATAGCATATGAAGTGTACCCATAACCCCCCCAATCTATGAGTATATGTTCCTTAAAGGCCAGCATTTGAGTAAACACGACTTCACCTGGGAGGGTGTTGCACTTGGGGGCAAAGCAAACTGAAGTAGGACAACATGTGCATTGACCAAACAGAGATCAGCCTGCGTCGGTGGTCATTGCGGAGACGGAAACCATTAAAGTTTTCCATCACAAACGGGGCTTCAGAGGGTTTTTTTTTACAAGTCGGCCCAGTTTGGTTGAAATCTGTCGGTTTTACATAACCTGTGGCTCAGTTTGAGGCTGCGTTAACTGGTGTCACATGGGCCAGATGTTGGGGCAACAGATGCAGGCCAAACAGAGGGGAGTACACAGGAAGGTAGTTCTCAGAGTTTCAGTTTGTGGCCCACACAGAGCACTGGTTGGTTTGAGGTTTGTATGTGGAGCACATATGTGCAACACCAGTCAGATCTATTTTTTTCCTTTTTCTTTTATAGGGCAGGGGGTGTCTACTTGTGTGCCACACTGGTCTTCAGTCTTTAAAAGAATAAATTAAAATCTACTTTAAACTTAATTATGGTGTATTTGTGATTCTTTTCAGTGATTTCAGTGCTGGATTTCCCCTCAAAATGTCTCAGATTTTGGACCCATATTGAGATAAGCAGGACTGGACATTTTTGCGGAGGGGAAATTGGCACATGATTTAATTAGATTTGCTCAGTTACCTCTCTGTTAACCTTTAGGCTGCAACTGCTAGCAGCTATGGAACTACAAAGGAAGCTTCATTTCTTGTGAAACATAACGGGAGAACAGAATTGTTAAGTTGTGGTTTACATGGAAAACTGTAACAGGCACACAGAGAAATGTGAAGTGTAGATGATCTGTGTGTGTGTGTCCTCAAGTGAGGTTAAATGAGGGCAGCAGGCAGTGTGCATCTCGTTTATTTTCACCCATTCACACATTCCACCAAACAGCCACAGCTACCTCGGGGCCAGAACAGCGTACCATTATCCCTTAATTTACAATACATAAATAAAAGCTGTTTGCATATAAACAGTTGCTGATGTACACATTCCAACTTGCTGAAGTACACACATATTTACAAAGACAATGACAAAATGTTTGTTTTCCCCCCTCAAAAATGAATGAATTCACTTTTTTTCCAGGTCACATCCACAGACTCGCTCCCTGTTTGGACAAATTTGAAGCTTTTGCATAACGAAACAAGAGTAAACTCTGGTAGGGAGCCAGACTCCTTTAGTGGCTGTATACTATTTACATTATGAATGTTAGAGGTCTTTTGAATCAGGAACAAAAACAACTGTGACGTGGTTTAACATTCATATTAATGGGTCACCCACCTTCTGTAAGTAAAACAAAAACAAAGTAGAGCTGGTTTTTTGTCTTATTCGACTTTATAAGAGCAGATATGATTTACCGGCTAGCCCTTAGCCCCACTCTCCACGAGACAACACTCCACCTTAGGAAGCAAGTCACCCAGGACAGAGAGGAATGACCCCCTCCTTTCTCAGACACGCTCGGCCCTGTTTGCACACACATAAAAATCACAGTTTTAAACCATCCCTGTTGAATCTGACCTTTAGCCAGCCCCTGGTCTCCACGCCACTGCTCTCTGAGCCATCTCTTACATGCTGGGGTTCAAAAATTCTCGCCTCGGACGATTGTATTTAGCATCTTTAAAAAAACAAAAACGAACGTCTGTTACCAAGTAAACAGCAAACACAAAACCCACTTGTTCCATTTGCTCTGAGCTTCAGCACCCGTTCATCTACAGATCAGGTAAAACAAGAAAAGCAACAACTGTCAGTCCAATCCAGACTCTGCAATCCCGAGAAGCCTTCAAGGTGCCCGGGTGTCTTTGTTTGTTTGTCTGTTTGTCACGGGTAAACAAACATGTTATGAGTTAGGGAATCCTTGTAGTGTGATGAAAAACTCTCCCTCAGGTTGACCGGCGCCGTCCATCATAGAGAGAAGGGAAGATGGAGGGCAGACGGGGCATTTGGGACGGTGGCTCTCTCTTGTTCCTCTGCACCACAGCAGGGCACAGCGGACAGAACCCGCTCAGACCCGGGCCTCACTCCTCATCAGCATTCTTCAGCATGAGGATGGAGTTGTAGATCTTCAGAGCAGGTCCCAGCTTGATTGACAGGATCTTTACAATGTCCGCTTGGGTGAGCAGCAGGAAGGCCTCGCCATCTATTTGCTGGAGAGAAAGTTCACGTTGTTTTTTTTTCTTTTTTACACAAACACAACTTCTGGGAACTCTGTATTTCAAATGTAGCTCCTTTGATAGCTGAACCATCTATTCTAGTTTTATTCTACTCATTTGAACATTATTTGAACTTTTTTCAATCCCGCTAGTACCATCTATAAATAATTATCTATGATCACATTTTGGAACAGTTTTATTGGAGAAGTATATTGTAAATGACCATAATGAAAAAAATACCCCAAATATATGCACTTTAAATTAGGGTTTAAGACTTGGAATTTTTCTTTAAAAGTACAAGATTAAGGAGGAATTAACAAAAAATCATACTGGTAACCAGTTGTTAGCCCTAATCTTACGGCTTTGGTTTGGGATCAGAGGCGGTGAAGCACTGACCTCGGTTTTAAAAGTAGCAGCGTGCTCTTTGCATCCGGGGAGCCCTTTGACGAAGGCGGCCACCTGATGAGCAAACACAAACCCGTCAGCTGCAGTGAGGGAGGCGCGCCTCGGCTTTTTAACGACACAGAGAGGACGTATGTCTGACCTCCTCTGAACTCCAAGCGGCCACTCTTTTGGCGGTCAGGCCCAGAACTTCAGGCAGCAGCTGGCAGTGTTTGTCCCAGCAGAGGGCCACCCGGTGTGGGGGGGAGGCGGAGATGCCGGGGGAGAACACGGACTCGTGGAGGGCCTGCTGGAGGGAGATGGCTTCTGGAGAGGCTGTGGAGAGAGGAGAGCGTTCAGCGGGGCGCAGAGCTTAGACACACGCTTTGTCTCACCGCCTCCCACCGCCAGCACTCACCTTTCCCATCGCTGACCTCCTCCTTCACATAGTGCATTTTCAGGTATTTGGGGACTGGGGCCGTCCTGATTGACACAGAAACACAAGCTCAAAGTTACAGTCCGACTCGAGACATAATCTTCAGCTCTGAACTTTAGCTCAGCTCCTCGTGAGGGAGACCCGAGTGGTTGGTACCGTTTGGGCCTGGTTCCATTATGACTCTGCTCGCTGGCTCCACTCAGTGGCTCTGGCTGGCTGTTACACCCTGGATGCTCAGCTTCCCCCGTCGCTGGTTTCCTAGCAACACAGATATTCCTCTTTCAGATATGAAACCCTTCACAGAGCTGAAGGCAACATCTTGACAGTGTAAATGTCATTTTTGCGGCCTGAAAGCCTGCTCTGTGCTCAGGGCCGACCTGCTGTGGGAGTCCTGGGCTGTTTCGGGGTGCTCTGCTGTCGGGGTGCTCTGCGCGGTAGGGTTGGCGTGGGCATCGGGCCGTCGTCCTCGCGGTTGGGGCCCACACAGGGTAAGGAGTCTCTCACCGCTCAGACGGTCTGGCAGCAAACCCTCCTTGTTGAGATTGATTTCGGAATAGGGGCAACTCACCTGGCTGCACACACAAAGAAAAAGTTGAAAAAGCTTTTTTAAAAAGACAGAAATTCCCTTTTCACTTTGGGTACTGAGAAATGAAATCAACTCAACAAACAGGAGTGAAATGGTGCTATTATGACCTTGACACCCACTAACACACACAGAAGCAACACGTTCAGACTGCAGCCACCCACACAAAACAAATGACATTTGAGAACACTGCCTCTCTGGCCCTCTTTTTGGCTTAATGCACAACTACTAAGGGGAGCATTATGTGGGAATGATAGGTGCTGCAGGAGGGATTTGATTGAACATTTAGAAAAAACAGTTTTAGAGATGACAATTAATGGAAGTGATGCAGGGGAGTAAAATTAGAGGAGTAAACAAAATATGATGCTTTCCATGAAGCGTGGCTGGAGTTTGGACACTAAATGTGGTGAGGACATTAAAACAAGAAGGAACACACAACCGAGTAAGAAAAAAGTAGAGTGTAACAGCATACTGAGTATGAGTTACTGACGTGTAGTGGGTCCCATAGCGAGGTCCTCTGATGTGGCCAACACCATTGCATCCTGGGGTGGGACACCCTTGTCCTGGGGCAGTCAAAATATCACTGGTTCCTGGAACGGACACACGGAAGAAAAGTTGATATGGCCCCCCGTAAGAAGGTTACAAAGTGTCAAAAAGTGTCCCTGTCTCACTGTTGGGGTATTGCAGTGGGTGTCCTGTTTTCTGGCACCAGCCTACGGGGTGGAGGTCCGGGCAGTCCGTCTCCACCCAGTAGTCATACTCTGAACTCCAGCCATCGAAGTGGATCTACATGAGACAAAACCAGGAGGAAATTACCCAAGCTGATAACAGAGTGGGAGTAACATTTGATCGGGACACGCTCTTTCTACCTTCAGCCTGTGATCCTCTGTGTCCACTATAGTAGCAACACGGATGAGCATGGGGTTCCTCCTGTCCACAGCTTCCACTTTCATCCCAATATTAAAGCCATGTGGCGGTCGCTGCAGACAGAGCATGCAGAGTTTAAAAATGACGCTGCTGCTTTTGTCATTTATTTTCTTTAATAAAAAGTAAATAATTTGATATGCTTTATGGAAAACTCCCTTTAAAACGATTACTACTCTTCATGCCACTAGCTTTGGAGAGCGGGTTTGTATCAAGCACAGTTTTAAAAACAACAACATTGATCATGTTTTGTCTTCTGTTCATTCAGATTTTTAAAAAGCTATCAAAAAAATGCATGCGTCACAAGTGTGTAGATAAAAACAGAAATCAGACCCAACATACAGCTCGACATGTTTTTGTGTGCGTGTTCATTTGATCCTTACAGGTTTAAAAGCTCGTGCAGGAGCAGCCTGTGTCCCTGTTTCTTCCAGGTATTTCTCCCACAGGAAACTCTTGGGTTCTTTATAATCTAAAAAGATGAATTGGAGATGATTAGAAACATCCCTGAGACAAACATATCCACAGGAAGGTTATCCTATGAAGTATTTGTCACAAACTGGGCATCAAGAGGAAAGGACCGTTTTCTGTCTGTTTATATGTAAAACAGAAGGTCTGTGTCTCACCGGCTGGAGTGGTCAAAGTCAGCTTCACCTCTTCACAGTAACCAACAGGATGGATGTATGGACTGCTGGCATCACACCTTAACAACACAAGTGAGCACAGACGCGTGTTTAACATCAGTCCAAGGTTTGTTAAATATTTCAGGTCAACTTTATATGGATTTAAAGCGTCTGCTGCTCAGCAACTGACTGTGGAGTGGAGTCCACTAAGCTCTTACCAATAATCATACGTGTCATCCCAGTTGTCAAAATGAATGAGCAGGCGGTTGTCGACCACAGCGGCGATTGTTGCTACACAGATCAACAGGGGGTTCTTCCTGTCAGTCGCCTCCAGTTTCATCCCTGCTCTAAACCCCGACGGAGTCACGGACTGCAAAACACAATTTTAAATAAAGATGCAGACACGCTTTTTGTCATGAATTCCCTGAAGGAAGGGCGCCGTTTACGGATGAAGCAGAGGGTGGCGCAGCCACTCACCGTGTTGAGGCTCTTGAAAAGGTGCTTGGGGGCCAGCTGGCCCCTGCAGTTCTTAACATACATGTTCCAGTTAAACTCGCCTTCCTTACAACCTGCAATAACATAGACCCAGTTTTTAATCTGACGCTCAGGCTGTCATGTCAGTAAGATCTGAGATGTGCGCTGAGTCTTTGTGGCGACCTTTGGGCAGCAACAGCTTGTGTCCGTTCTTTTCACACCAGCTTGCAGGTTTCATGTCCCACGAGTCAGCGTTGGCCCAGAAGTCGTAACATTCTGGGTAACCATCGAAGTGGAGCCTTACTCTGTAACCTTGGATCTGCGAGGGAGAAACGTGGCGTCTGTTAGAGAGCAAGAGACAGAGGGAAGTCTGGCAGGATCTCCAGCAGCATCCATACCTCTGCTACAGTGAGCACACAGAACAGAGAAGGATGAGACGGGTCAAGACCCTCCAGCTTCATCCCAACTTTAAAACTGTTCCTGCTCTGAGGAAACGACTGGTGCTGCGAGATAAATGCACAACACGATATATTAAACCACCGGGTTATGACAAACAGCACAAAGCGGGGGGTGTATGAGGGATGTACCTCTTTGAAGAGCTTCACAGGAGCAGCAATGGCTCTCTCCTCTTCCAGGTAAGCAGGCCAACTCCATGCTCGTTTCTTATTGGTAGGGGTAGTGACTGAAGGTTGATGCAAACATTCAAACATGTTACACAACAGCTGATGCACCACGACATCCACGACACATCATTTACACAAAAGGACAATGAGAAACACCACTCCGATGTATTTTTATGGACATGAACGCCAGCCCTTAACGCAGACTGAATCTAACTCAGTCAACATGATCTCATGTTATTTTTTGGTTCAAGTCAGACACATCTGGGCACACGTCGATGACGACCGTCTTAAATTTCGCCTTTTCAGAGCAAACGAGAACCCTTTACTTTCATTCCACCATTCAAAGTCTACAAAACTGGCTTTAATTCTCACCCAGAGGAACACTGAAACAGGAGACTAGAGCCTATTTTAAACAAAAAGCTGAACCTACACCATAAGCATTGTTTGTGGACTTCTATTAAAGAGGAAAATGTCGGCCGTTTTAGGATTTTAATAATATTTAGAGAAAAGCTAAATATGTTCATTCGTCCCTCCTTTCACAGCAGTGACAGACTCACATACCCAGTTTGGCTATTTTGGCTCCCCTCCTGCCTTTGGCTGTCTTTGCTTTTTCCTGTTAAAACAAAAATGTGCAGAACATTAGGAAAAGGTACAGTGAAGCATGTACAGGACAACAGCACACTGAGGTGGCTGAAACAAACACCTCACCTCTGGCTCCTCTTGGTTGTCCTCTTCTTCATCACCAGAGTCCATATAGATCTTCCTCTTTTTGCGCACACGTTTTCCCAGCCTCTCCCCTTCTACTGCCTGAATCTCTCGCGCTTCTCCCGGAGATGACCTTTATTAGAAAAGGGACAAGTCAGCGGTGCTGCCCCGGAGGAAATATAAAAAGGCATCATGGAGCCCCTTCTGGATAATCATACCTGCCACTGGAGGGCTGGGCACAAATGGAGCTACAGAACTTGCCCTGCAGCAGGGCATCCCCAGGTACACAGCCCCCACAGACCCGGCACCGCGACAGCTCCCCATTTGGACCCGTGCCTGCACTAGAGCCCACAACCACACTGGGCCCAATCTCCACGCTGGGAACCTGCATGCTAGGACCCTCCTCTGAAGCACAGAACGACGACAGAAAGACATTAAATAGATTTTTTTAAAAGAGCTGACACTGTGGGTGTTTCCTGTTAGAAACGCCTGCAGTTTCAGAGAGGTGAAGGCGCATTTCTTCACTGCTCCAACATTCAACACACCTTTGGCTTGTGATGATCCTGGCTTACTCTGATTGGCTGGAGCTTTGGCTGTGCCAGTCTGTGACTGGCCCTCTGGTGGAGGGGTGGGAGTGTGAGACGGCGCAGGGTCCAACGTCTCACAGTTTGGCACTGCCTCCTGGCCTTTGACTTCTAGATCTGTGACAATCTCAAGGGTCCCAAACTCTGTCATACGGAACTGAAACATGTAGAGCATAAAGTGGATAGGCTCATCAGTAACTACTGAGAGAAGGTGACTGCCAACCCACTACAGATTCAATCTATCTCCTAATCAATTGAGCAAACAGGAAAGATTCTAGACCCCAGCAGCATGTGCTAAGTGCAATAACCAAAATGAAAAGCCTCCTGGGTCTGGAGACAAACGCAACACAATAAAAACTCTACTGCACCCTGATATCACTGCCTGGCAGCGTGGCTATTCCATCTTTCCAGTCCAAAGCACCCATCATGTCAAACTCAGCTCCCTGGGAGGGTCCATCGCTGGGTGGAGTGTCAGTCATTCCCACTCCGCTGATATGACTAACCTGTGAAAACCACCGCATGAGAGGCAAGGAGTACGCTCAAGAGTTGAAAACAGTTCATAGGTCTGATTTTGATCAGGTCATTTTTCATTTGTAAAGTGTCGGCCGGGCGTGATGGTCAGAGCAGAGACGCCACCTGTACGGTTTTATGTACGGAGTGCCTCAAATTGCAAAATGCAGTTTCCGCCCGTTTGTAGGCGGCGTTACGCAGCATCACCGCTAGATGGCGACTGTGTGTTGGCGTGCAGGGTACACCATGCACTTCGATTTCAGACAAAACAGTCAATAATAATATTGTTTTGCTGGTCAACTAACGGGGAAATACGTGCACAAACGATCTCATTAGGGTAAACCTTTATGAAGATCATTGACAAGCACGGCGAAATGTGTCTCAACTTTAAGTTAACCACACAAGTTCATCTTTTCCTTGTTTTAACAGTATCTCTTAAAAACGGCTGTTTGCCTGGTCATGAGCAGGAGAGGTGGTAATTTGTGTACCAATTTCACGGATAACAGAGTTTTCTGCACTGAATGACCAAACTTAATCTCATTTTGAAACGTCTATTATTGCGATAAAACGATTTAGGCTTGACGCATGTTCAACACTGGATTAAGGTTATATTTTCTATTTGCACCGTGGTCACAACCATGTGCAAAGTGAACAACAGAAAGAGCTAATGGACCTTCGTCAAGTTTGACTTTGCACTTGACACCTCAGTTTTATTCTAGCCATAAATAAAGTGTATGTAAGAGCGCCCATGATTAGCATTCGTCTTATACAAAATGGCGGAGCATATGAAGAGGCCACCAACACGTTTAAACTATGTTAATTACTCAAGTTACCTATTTAAACAATTCATGCAAGGCAGCTACGCGTCGAACAAAAGCCAACGTTTGCTGTGTAATTTCCTGACTGGGTGTTTTTATTCACTCTGCTCGTTTTTCTTCACTTTCCCCTTGTCACGGAATGTCAGCCCAGGTTGCTACAGTAGCTAGCGCTTCCATGAAGCTAACAGTCAGCTAGCGCCACTCCGTAGAGATGAACGGGAGACTGCTACACAGTTAGCCCTAGCAGTACGACTGGATGCAGCCAGCTAAGGACGATCTGTAATAAATAAGTTTCCCGGTTAATAACAATAGGAAAACGCATTTGCAAAACGCCCATATCTCACATAATATTACACCCACTCAAACAATAACACTGCGCCACTGTTACGAGCTTCAACATTGTTGCTTGATTTATTTCTACAATAGAAACTTGAAAAAAAAAACGATTTATTTTCGCCGTTTTAAATCAGAGTGAAAATTAGGCGAACAAACGCTGGTTGGCAAACAAAGGCTCGGCTTTACAAATTTTGCACATGTTAACAGCAATAAATGAGTATTAACGCCCGTATTGTTTGAAAATTGTGGAACTCACCTCGTTTCTGTTTTAACTCTTATTTAGAGCTGGATAGAACGATGCGCATGCGTGCAATATGCGCTGCCTGACAACTTTGGGTCTCGAAAAAGTTCAGTTCGGTATCGGTGGTCAATACCAGGCCTGCGTACGCTCACAACACGCCTCGAACACAGTTCGGGGCTCACATATGATATACTACCCGGTGGACCGAGGGTCGTAGTTCCCCTTTTTTCTTCAAATAGTCAGTAAAGTATGCCCCCCCCCCTCCACACACACACATATATATAAGAAGTATCAATAGAGCGCAGGGACCGCAGTGTCTCCATTAACCGTTGAGGAGCGTTTTGTTCCTCAGTCTGTTTACATCCCAGTTTTCAGCTCAGAGCGACCGTCAAACGGCTTGTGTTGTTTTTTTTGCTGTGGTGCGAGCGAAGGCGATTTTTTTTTCTTTTTACCTCGTCGCACAGGTGCTAACAGTTGAATGAAACGCTCAGGCCTGTAAAATCACGAAATGAAATTTCCACCCCGAAACGGCCCGGTGGGGCTGGAACACGGGACTCTGGGCTGGTTGTGGCTCTCTAACACGTCCGCTGCTCTGCTGACTGCTGCGCACGCGGTCTGCCCTGACCACCGAGCCAGGTCTGCCCGAGAGAGATGCACGACGGAGTTCAGCTCCTCTATAAACTTCGCAAATCAACGTGCCAAAACAACGTCACGCTGTGATCTTTGGGGCGCCCGGTTAAGAGAAAGTCAGCGTGCCGCCACATTAGATGGCGTGTGTCACACTCTCGCACGCACGGCTCAACAATCCCAGATGACAGCTTGTTCGTTACATTTGAAAACAGACGCGCTCATCAATGCAGGGGTTTCTGGACTAATTAAAGACAGTCCTCGCTATAAAAAAAAAAAACATGATCAGCAGCAAACCTGCAGTATTCCCTCCCACACTGGGCGGTTTCTCGTCTGATACAGACGTGGTAGCTTTAACTCGCTGAACAAAATGTCTACATCATACACGATCGTGCCCATTATTTGACATGATGACGACCCGGTGTAAAACGGAGGTGATTTTTGACCTGAAAACAAAGGCCAGCCCGTAAAGAGGCGGAATGAGTGGAGCTGGGCTGAGGAAGCGGCGGAGGCGCTGCTGGGTGTTTGTTTGGCGCCTGGTCGCTAGATGGCAGACGGGGTCTATTTTCTGGAGGATTAACGGGCTCCTGCAGCCTGCCGCTGCAGCAGGATTCTCCAATAACAAATAAAAACACAAACCATGAGATGGCATTCAATGGCAACACGGCCGATTCAAAGGTAAGGGGACGCAACACGTGTAAGCGGGGAGGAATTCGCCCGAAAACAATTTTTTTTTCTGGTTGTCTGCGTGAACTGTGAGCTCGTGCGGACCGAAAGTGGGGACGGCGTGCGTTATCATTAATACCGATAATGTCCAATGTCCTTCAACATTCCCCACCTACGATCCATGAGCTGTACAAGTTGCTGGTGGTAGAGTTGTAAGTCTCCTCGCATATGGGACACCCCCCCCCCCCCCCAGCCCCCGTTTAAAAGAAACCGTCATACTATATGTGCAGCTTCAGGTAGGTGCTGGTGGACGATAGGAGGTGTTGACAGGTGGTGACCTAACGGCCATTTCTCTGCCTGTCCCTCCACAGACCGTGCTGTTCAACCTGCTCCTGTGTCTGCTCATATTTTACTCTCTTTTCTACATGATTGGGAGTGTGTGTTTCGGTGCCTTCAGGTGAGAGCCGCAGCACGCATGCGCACAGACACCGCACGAGTGCCCATAGCAACACTGAAAGACTAAATTAAACAATAGATTTCCAGTTATTGGGATGGAGATGATGATCACAGCTGGGAAATTACTCAAGAAACCAGCATCTCTGATCCCAAAGGGTAGAGCACTAAAACCAACACTTTGATAGGCATGTTTGGAATATGTGCAAACAATTGTTTTTATGGTTAACCTGGACATTATGTCCAGTAGGCTCATTTTTATAAGGACCTGTCGATCAAAGCACGCATTAAATGTTTGAGTTATTGTTGTACATGTTGATTTCTTTTACAAATAATGTTAATTTTAGAGTCATGAAGGAGTTTGTACTCATATTCTCCCACTCTTTTTTTATACATCGAGGCTGGATCACTTTGATGGACTGATTCCATTTGACTTTAAGACCGAACCTACTGAATCCAACTCCAAATACCTGGGTGAGCACATACAATCCAACCAGTGTGATCAACATCTGGGAGTGTGGCCTCTTAACAGATGGGTTCTCCATTTTACTCGTCTCCCTCAGTCAACCTCCTGTCCCTGGAGCTCACCTACTTTTGTAGTGGCCTTCTGTTTGCTGCCGTGGTGAGGAGGCGGGTTTGGGACTATGCCCTCACCATCACACTCCTCCATGTGATACTCACCAGCATAGGTGAGTGAGAAGCTTGCAAGTACGTCTGCTCATGTACAAACTTTGATGGCCGAATGTGTGGTGTAATGTCATGTTTTGTTTCCGCGTGGCAGTAATGTTGGAGTTTCCCCTGGTGTGGCAGTGGTGGCTGGCTTTAGGTACCGCAAGTATTACTGACGATTCAGGTCATTTATCCCAACGTCATCTCAGATCTTTTATTCTCCACCTTGTTTTTGCTTTGCAGGTAGCGGCTTGTTTCTAATGATTTGTAATGGTCAGCTGATCGCCTACTTCACGTGCCAAAGCGAGCAGAGCTATGCCGCCTTCAGCTTATACTGACACTCTGTTTACTTGTCTTGAAAGATGAATGAAAAAGGATCAGAGCAGACGCTCTCCTCCCTGAGATACCCATTACATTCTCCACTTTGATGGGCTTTCCTGTCCATCAATACAAAGACCCATCAAAAGTAAAGTCATACCTGGATGCTACTTTTGTTTAAAGTTAGCGAAGATGCTCACTTGCTGTTCTGTTCATGTGAATGTCATAAAAAGAATCTGTTTGTGCTTTGCTTGCGACTGTCAGTATCCAGCATTAAAGCAGCCGGTGAAGTGCTGTTAGCTCTGTGAGATGTGACTGAAACAGCAGGACGCAAATGGTCAAATACATGATATTTATTTTAGAATAAAAATGCAAAGTATTAAAAATAAATCGGCTTCTGGCTGAGTGTTTACTGTTTCATGGAACTAATTAAAGAGGACTCTTGAAATAGTGACCAGCCTATCCCACATTATCAGAACATTGTAACATCAACAATGAGCCTATAAATATTATAACATTTACACATATAAACTATAAATAGCCTATAAATATAAGAACATTTAATCCAGTGTGTTCCAATGGAACATGCAGCGCATCGCCTTGTTAGGATTTCAATATTTTGTCAGTGCTTAAAAAAATCGACATCTAATGGTCAGAGATTAAAAAATAAAAGTGTAAACAATAATATGAGTTATATAACTGGCTCTGCTGACACATACTCCGCTGGGTCCATGAAGGAGAAGCCAGGGAAGGCCACGCTGGCCCCGGCTGCCTGGCCCCTCTCGTTCACAGAGGCTGGAACAGGCTGGAGCGTGAACTCAGGGTCAATGTAACTGACGTCACACGGGCCAGACTGGAGGGCAGGAAGAAACAAGCACAAAATGATCTTAACCGTGTCTTCAAAAATACCTTTAAAAAATATCTCTGGTCCAAACCGGTTTATCCGTACCACTTTTGGGATGAATGGGGGTCTAAGTCTTCTGGCCACAAGGTCTTGCCAGTTGATGGAGGCAAAGAAGGGATGTTCACGCAGCTCCTCCTGAAGACACAAAGAAGCAAACGCCTTTGCTGTTATGTGTGCTGATGCCCCCTGCTGCTGCTTTCTCTTCTCTGGGTGCACTCACGATATCACGGCTCTCCCCAAGGCGTTTGGTGATGTCTCTGTGCAGCAGCCCCTCTAACAGAGAACGGGCTGCTTCAGACAGGCTGCCGGGCACCTGCAGCTGAGCGTGAAGGATGTTCTCGAACATTTCTGCCTTACTCTGGTTGTAAAAAGGAGGCTGAGGCACAGAGCACAGAAGTGGAGATGAGGGACCAACAAAAAAAAAAAAGGGAGACGATGAAAACAAAAAGGGAATTGTTTCACCTGCACTCACCAGCCCACAAAGCATTTCAAAGAGCACAGCGCCAAGTCCCCACCAGTCCACCGCTGGGCTGTACGGCTGGCCCCGTAGCACCTCTGGAGCGAGGTACTCTGGAGTGCCACAGAGGGTATGCATGATCCCACCAATGGCCACGCCCTCTTTACAAAGACCAAAATCTGTTAGCATCACATGGCCCTCACAGTCCAGGAGAATATTCTCTGGTTTTAGGTCCCTGCACAGAAAGATATGATGCAAAAGTTCCATTTTATTCTACTAGCAAATGCATTAACTTTTATCAGAAAACTTTGCTGTTTTAGTTTTGTTTGTTTTTTCAGTTTCTTGCAGCTCCACATACTTATTTTTTAATGCCATGTTGGTGGACATAATGGCTTTCAGTAGCAACACTACATTGGGATTACTCTGCATGCATTAAATAAGAACATGGAGCTTGTTTAAATAAAAAATGAGCAAAGAAAGGAAAAAGAAACAAATGGAAAAGTGGCTTCCCAGACGTCTGTCTGTCTACTTGGGTATGCACACCTGTAAACAATGTTGAGAGAGTGGAGGTAGCCCAGCGCTGCAGCCATCTCCGCAGCATAGAAACAAGCTCTGGGTTCTGGAAATGACCCTTCCCTTTGAAGGTGATAGAACAGCTGGAGGGAAAAGAAAGAATAAAGTTTTTTTTTTTTATAATCTTCTGTTACTTCTGTTTGACGATTTTGCCACCACATACCTCTCCTCCATTGACATAGTCCAGGACAAAGTAGAGCGTGTTTGGGGTTTGGAACGAAAAATGGAGTCCCACCAGGAATGGATGCTGTAGTCCCTTCAACAATACACTCCTCTCAACCATCACATGCCGCTGCTACAGACACACGAGCAATAGTAGAAAATATCACTGATGGACAGACGGATAGCAGACAGACAGGCAGACAGACAGACAAACAAAGATAGGTACCTCTCTTCTTTTGATGATCGTTTGCTTCTGAAGAACCTTAACTGCATAGTAGCCTCCTTGTTTCTGATGCCTTGCCAGCAACACCTTAAATAGGTCAGATTTTTTATATCAAACCATTTTCACATCCTTTCTCCTCTGCATTGTAATCACAATAATATACTATATATGAACATTTCTGAAGAAAAAAGATTGAATTCATTTTAAAACAAACTTCTCACCTTTCCAAAGCTTCCTCTGCCAATAACTTTGAGGTAGTCAAAGTCTGACGGTTTCATCCTGGTTCAAGAAACGACAGAAAACAAGTAATACATTCTGTAAACTTGCCGCACAGATAAAGAAATTAGCATGATGAAGACCTTTTACGTGATCATATGGAAAATAAATAACCCTGAGGGACGCTTAAGTGTCCTTATAATGAATAATATACTCCAGCAAAAAGAAAGGCTTTCTCTGTAATGTGAATCCAAATGTTACTTTAGGCACGATATGCATCTGGATGCTGGATGGGTATGACTTACCCAGAGGCTTCTGCATTCGCTGAGCTCTGAGGAAAATGAAGACAAATGGGTTAGAGGCCGGGAGGTCAGGTTTAGTTTCATCTCATGTCAACACTCAGCAGAGTGCTCTTAAAACCCTCCCGTGCCTGAACTCACCACGGCAGCTTTGTCCTCCTTCGTCTTCTTCAGCTTGCTCTGACTCCGCAGCAGTCTCTGAGTGTCCAGGCTTCAATCAGAAGGTCAAAGGCGACACATGTGGGTTTCCTAGTTTGGTATTTAGGATTCACACTATGCTAAATATGCTAGAATTGTGTTTTGTTATATTTTCATGGGTTACTTACTGCTGGCAGAGATGCTGAGAAGAAACAAGTTTGTGCAAGAACTCACTGAAGCCAGCTTTCTTCCCTTTGAGCAGAGCTGTAATGCAAATCGGGCACAGGGTGGGGATGGGGGGGGGGGGGGGGGGGGGGGATGACTCTATTAAATAAGAGCCCATTAGCTGTTAATACACTGTCACATTTACAGTCACTGAGCTGCAGCTGCAAAAAGTTTATGGGGTTTGCCATGTGGTGGTTTAGTTAACTCCTGCTAAAAATCACAGCCACAGCCCACTAGTTATTGTTGGCAACAGGAGTTATAGCATTCTTATACAAATCTAAGTTAACAACACCATTTCAATCTAAATCTAATCGCAGGAGTTCATTTAAGTCTTCTCCCTTACCTGAAAAAAATGTCACAAGTCCCTTCATTTTGGCATAGGTCATCGGCTGCTCTTGAGTCACAGTCATCTGGATAAAGTCTGACTACTGAGACCTTCCGAAAGCTAAACTCACAGCAGGACAGCTGGCACCTGTGGCAGCGCAGCCCCTCTTCTCCTGAACCTCTGTCCTGCTCTTCAGTTAAGAGTGGTTGACGCAGCAGACGTGAGTACGGAAAGTTACGTTCAAGGTCCCTCGGCCATCGCACCATCCAACTTCGTCCGCACATCAAAATGGCTAAACAACATAGTATTTCGCTTTTTGGTAGTCATTCATGATCCTGGGTTAATGGGATGGGGTCGGTCATTTAAGGAATGGTGATTTTGACAGTCCTCACAAAGTACGTTTAGATTCACGAAGCAGAGTTCTCGAGTGTACAACATTTTTTGATGACATTAAACTATCTCGGAAAATGAATGCGACATGCTTGTCTGGAAAAGCGCCAAACGGGATTCGGTGCACTCCAGCTGACAGAGGCCCTGGAACCACGTGGGTCGAGAAGTAACCCTTAAGACTGTTAAATCAATCAAGGTT